AAGAGAGGCAGCTATCCCCGCCCTGGTTTCCTCTCCATATGGTGGCAGGAGGCTGAGCTGGGCCAGGCCTTCACCAGTACTTCATCCAAGTATTCCACGGGGTGACGGGGTCAGCGCACGTGGGCCTTCTTCAGCTGCGTCCCCAGATGCCTTAGTGGGAGCTGGACCGGAGTAGAGCAGTCAGCCCTGGTGCTCAGATGGGATGGCGATGTGGCTTCACTCGCTCTGTCACAGTGCAGGCCCCGGTGGTGGCGCTTGTTACAGATGTCAAGATAGTTGATCTTGTTTAGATCTGCATACTTACTGATATCTCTATCTTCTGCTTTATCAGATAGTTACTAAACAGAATGGTGTTGACATTTTCCTTTATCTTTCTTCCATTTTGTTTGTTAAACTTCACTTTTGTAATCCATATTTTTAACTTCCATGTCTCCTTCTGGAATTAATACTTCTACTATGAAATGTGCTTGGAGACTTGGAGACACTCCTCTTTTCCAGATGTTATTTGGGGCTAATGCCTTTTCTGGGGAGAAAATTGGTCCATTTAATTATCTCTGTGTTTTTAAGTCTATTGTCTTGTTGTGTTTTTTTCTTGTTTTCTCTCATATGTCTTCTGTTTTACCCTCCCCCCCCCCCCAAATATTTACTTTTCAGTTTTACTTCTTTTCTTGGCCTTTTAGCTATTCCTGCTGTACTTAATTTATATAGTAGGTTTGGTCTAAGTATTAAATTAGTGTGGATTCTTAGCTTGTCACTGGCCACTTAGGATTAATTTGGAATTATATGACTTCACAATTATATATCTTTTTAAAAATATTTAATTTCATTTACTTGAAAGGCAATATCAGAGGAGGAGACAGAGTGAGAATGAGACTGAGAGGAAGAAAGAGATAAAGAGAAAGAATGAAAGAGCAAAGAGAGAAAGCTTCCATCCATCGGCTGGTTCACTCTCCAGCTGGCCACGATGGCTGAGGCTGGGTCCTAAGACGACCTGGAGTCTGATGCTTTCTGCTTGTCTCCCGTTGGCAGGGACTTGGAGGGAAACGCGAGCATCTAGGTGAGAACAGTTGCCCGTCGCCGGGGTGACATGGATCATGACACAAGCCTTGTACACAATGTGTTGGAGATTTGCAGACATTGTGGAATGGCTAAGTTGTGGTGTGAATACTTAGTATCCATCTAGAAAGATTGAAAATAGTGTTATTTTATAACAGTGTAATTCCATTTAGAGCAATAATCTTCAGGGCCTGGCATGGTGGTTCAGTCACTAAAGTTAACGCCTTGCATGCACTGGGATCCTATATGGGTGCTGGTTCGTGTCCTGGCTGTTCCACTTCACATTTAGCTCTCTGCTTGTGGCCTGGAAAACAGTCAAGAATGACCTAAACCTTGGGACCCTGCACCCACATGGCAGACCTCGAGGAAGCTCCTGGCTGCTGGTTTCGGATTGGCTCAGCTCCGGCCATTGCAACTGATTGGGGAGTGAACCAGCAGATGGAAGATCTTTTTCTCTTATTTCCTTCTCTCTATATATCTGCCTTTCCAATTATGTATATACACTTATATATGTGTGTGTGTATCTACATATATATATAAATCTTTTAAAAATCTTTTAAAAACTTAAGTTGTTGTATATTTTACTTTTACATGTTACAAATGACAGTAATACATTATTTATCTTTCAACTTGTAAATTATCTTTAAAGGAGATAAATACCCATGCATTTCCTGTTTCCAGTACACTTCTAATTGATGTCTTAAATTTCCATCTGGCTTCATGTGATTTATTTCACATTAAAAGACAGAATACGTGTTTTTTGAGGAAGTTTTCTGGTGACTAATTTTTAGTTCTTCATTCGAAAAATCATGTTTTCAAAACTTGTTTTAAAGAATAATTTTTTTGGATGTAGAATTCTGTGTTAGAATTTTTTTTCCCTTCTGACTTTCATTACTTTGAAATGCCTACCCATCCCCAGTCGTAGTTCACAACTATTTCTGAAAATAAGTTAGAATCCTTATATGACATACAATTTTATAATCTCCTTTCAATAATCTATGTATCTGCACTTGGTCCATGATGTGCCTAGGTTTCGTTTTCTTTACATTTATCTTATGATGGGATTGCTGATATCTTCAAATTATACATAGATTGATGTTTTTGCCAAGTTTTTATCCATTATTCAAATATTTTTTTTATCTTATTGCTTTTCTTCAGTAACAGGATTCCACCATGGTTTAGAAGCTTTGGAATCTTGTCTTCTAATTCTTTTTTTTTTAAGATTATTTTTTAAAAATTTTTATTGGAAAGGCAGATATACAGAGAGGAGAGACAGAGAGGAAGATCTGTCCGATGATTCATTCCCCAGGTGGCCGCAACGGCTGGAGCTGAGCCAATCTGAAGCCAGGAGCCTCTTCTGGGTGGGTGCAAGGTCCCAAAGCTTTGGGCTGTCCTTAACTGCTTTCCCAGGCCACAGGCAGGGAGCTGGAAGGGAAGTGGGGCTGCCGGGATTAGAACTGGCGTCCATATGGGATCCCGGGCTTACAAGGCGAGGACCTTAACCACTGCGCCACCGTGCCGGGAAACTTGTCTTCTAATTCTAATCAGGGTTTTCTTGGAGTCTGTTGTCTGTCAGCTTTGTTTCCTGACTCTGGGTCGTGCTTATTGCTTCTTTGCATGTTTGACAGTTTGTAATTATATGGTGGACATTGTAAATTCAACATCTGTGACAGTTCTGGTAGTTTTGAAAATGTAGACATAGTTAAGTTACAGAGAATTGTTTTTAGGTGTTTATTTGAAAGGCAGAGCCTCAGGGAGGGAGGGAGGGAGAGAGAGGGAGAGAGAGAGAGAGAGAGAGAGAGAGAGAGAGAGAGAGAGAGAGAGGTTACAACTGCTAGTTCACTCTTGAAGTAGTCCCAGCAGCTAGATTTGGGCCATGCCGAAGGCCATGAGGTTCTTCTGGGTCTTCTGCTTACATGCCGGGAGCCCAGCCCTCGGTCCATCTTCCACTGCTTTCCCGGGTGCTTTAATGGGAGGCTGGAGCAGAAGTGGTGCAGCTGGAACACAAGCCAGTGCTTGTGTTGGATGCTGACTTTACCTGTTGTGTACAGGATAGGTGGATAGGCGTTCTGAGAGCGATTCCTAACCCTCTCTAGACTTTGGCTTTGCTTAGGGAAGTCTGGATTAGTCACTGCTTTAAAGTGTGGTCACAGTCTCTGTAAGTCTCCATCTGCCTGCCTGGGATCTCAGTCAAGGTGCTCAGCCGTTCTTTACTGAATCCTGTAGTAGCATCTATCCTTAACTGGTTCAATGTATCCCCCTTTACCTGTGTCAGGTTTTGGCCTTACTGCCTCGTTACTCACAACTATGAAACGCCTTTACATTTGGTGCCATGTCCTGCAAATTGCATTCTTTTCAACAGTTTTGACTCTCTGGTCTGAGATCCGTGTGTGTTGGGGTGGGGAGATGTCCTGAGCGTGGGTGAAGGTGGGCCTTCCCTTCTGTGTCTCTCAGGGATCCCGGTTTGCAGTGCCAGTTACCTGAAGCCTGGAAAGAGATGCTAAGGCAGGAGAAGCTGTTCACTGTCAGTTACTGTAGTACGGGTGCAAGCAGACGGCTCCCCCAGTGTTAGAGTGAACAGGAGCTCCCAGTTTCATCCATAAGTAAAGGAGTATGGAGCATCAAATCAAACTTCGTAAAGAGGTTAGGTTACAACTAATTGCACTCTGAGAGGTTGCTCAGCAGTTAGAAAATACTATTAAATTAATCATATAGATTCAGAATTAATGTAATATTACTTAGAAAATACTATCATTAGAAAACCCCTTTTATGGTTATATTTTGCAGTCAGACTATTTCAGAACTAGATAGAAGTCTTTGATCTTGGTCTTAGTCACTGATGAAGTCTGTGCTTTAGTGGCTGCAAAGCAGGAGCTCACTCAGATCTGTTAGGCAGGTGAAGTAGATCGAATAAGGTTGCAGATTTACCACAGGATTCGGTTAAGTGTTAGTGAAATACCTAGAAAAGATGACAGGAAAAGATTTTCGGAGGTCTTAAATATTTTTCTAAGCTTCAGTGTTTCATTTGTATGAGGCAAGTTAATAATTTCCTTAACTTAAAAGGATTTTGCCTGTTAAAATTTTTTTAGTCTTGTGAAATTGTACATTGTTTTAAGGCTTAGTTAAAATGTTACATTAAACTTGGTTTTCTTGAGGAGTAGCAAGAACATTCACTATGTTCTCTCTTCTGTGCTCCTTCCCATATCTGCTAAAATGCAGAACATATTTGAAGAAAAATTCAAAAGAGAGTGTGTATTTGAAAAGACTTTGAAAATTATTATGTATGATTATGAGGGAATTATTTTTAAGATTTGTTTTAATTTGAAAGATTTTCAGAGAGGACAGACAGAAAGGGCGTCCATCCGCTGGTCCTCTCAGCTGGAGTTGCGCCAATTCGAAGCCAGGAGCTTCTCCCAGGTCTCCCACTTGGGTGCAGGGTCCCAGGGTTTTGGGCTGTCCTCCACTGCTTTTCCAGGCCAAAGCAGGGAGCTGGATGGGAAGTGGAGCAGCAGGGATATGAGCTTGTGCCCATATGGGATCTTGGTGGATGCAAGGCAAGGATTTAACCACTAGGCTATCGCCCTGGGACCAATAGAGATCTTATATCTGTTGGTTCACTCCTAACTACCCACACTAAATGAGGCTAGGCTGCATTGAAGTGGCAGCTGGGAACTAAGCCTAGCTCTTCCAGATTGGTGTCAGGGAGTCAGCTATCGGAGCCTAGTGGGGACTGCATCATTAGCAAGTGGAATTGAGAGGGAGCCAGAATTGAAACCCAGGAACCCTGAGAGGATGTGCAGATCCTGGAGGCACCCTAAGTGCTGCCGTCTAAGCACACCCATACTGCGGTTTGAAACTGGCAGTAGGTTATTGTGATTTTGCTGTCTCTTGTTTCCCAACATGTGCTGCATTTCCTAACTGATTTTCTTTTCTTCATATTCTAGCTCTCTGTCAAGAATCACTTCATTCAAAAGATCCCTTGGAAGACATGTTTTGCTGAGAGGACAACTGTTCGGATTCTCACGGATGGGATGAACACGCCCCAGTTAGCTGCCCACCTGCCGCGACCTGAATGGTAGCGTTGCCCACCTGGTGCAGCGCCCAGTGATGGACCTGCTCTCACCAGACCCCATTTCAGTGTGCTGGTCTTGATTAAAGAATTCAAAGTGGAGTACCGCAAACTTGATATGGATAATAAAAAGAAAGACAAGGACAAAGTGGATGACAGGATGGCACGGCCCAGTGGCCGATCAGGACACAGTGCTCGAGGAACTGGCTCTTCCTCTGGAGTTTTAATGGTTGGACCTAACTTTAGAGTTGGAAAGAAAATCGGATGTGGCAATTTTGGAGAACTACGATTAGGTGAATTGATTTTATTTCTCTGCGTTATAAGTGTTTCGTTTTTAAGTAGGCAATATTTTTTTAAAGCAAAGGATTTATTTATTTAATTGTATTAATTTAAAAGGATAAACATGTAGGAAATTTCTCATGTAATTGTGTTTTCATTTGTAAGGAATTCTTTTATATAGGAATATTTAGTTTGTTGTGATTAAACATGCAGAATATGAGAAAGCAGGAAAGTCGATTTAAAAGGCTCATTTTAAAAAAATGATTTTTAAAAAAGTCGATTTAAAAAGCTCATTAATAGCTGCTTAGGAAGGCTTTGCAGGTTGTATTTTACGAGATGCGTAGATTACGTTTTCAGACCTTTGAACATTTAGCAGCTGTTTAGGAACTGCTACGAAATGCATATGGCTTAAGGTCAGGGAATATAGTGAAATTGCATGAAGTTAATGAAGATTGTGTTGTTGAAATTTCATCTTTTTCTCGTTGAATTTCTTTGTATACCTGCCCACGTTTATGTTACGGCTAAGGGCTTGAGAGCATTGACTCTGATGTTGTAACCAGGGAATTTCGGGAAACACCGGTCAAGTTAAACCTACCTCTTCGGAGAAGGCAGTTGAAGCTGAGAGGGACAGTTGTTTGCCAGATGTCACAGAACAGTTGAGTGACTGGCTTGGGCCCTAGGTCTGGGAGCCGTACTGTCTTTGGAGAGGAGCAGTCAGGAGATGAGCCTGGTTCTTGAGCAGGGTAGGCATTGTGGTGTATCAGGGGCCTCCGGCGCCTGGACCACCGAGAGTGCTAACTCCACAAGTAAAGAATGTTGGCTTCAGTGTTGTGAGGCCAGTGCAGGTTCGTCAGATTGTTGATCTGCGAGCTGCTTCTCCTCTTCAGCTTGCAGAGCTGTAACGTGTAGCGGCTCCATCATCTGCTAGTTTGGTGTAGTTAATGTGTGCTATCTGAAACAAGCCCGTGAAGGACAGGGACGGACTCTGCACAGATGTCATCTGGTGTGGCTGGCCAGCTCTGACATTGAGGATCAATGTTCTGCATCTTGTTTTTGAAGGATTTTGGATTAAAAAGATTTTGAGATTTTCAGATGTTTCTGACTTTGGTGAGTTAGAGAAACCAAGTTATCTAGTTGTCTGAGCCATATGCAACTGGTTTTTAGATTATGCCTATCATGGACAAGCATGACTAAAGCACTGATAATAAATCAGAAAAATAGAAACATTTTAGCTGTCCCTGCACTCAGGTGTCGTTGAAGCACTCGGAGCCTCACATTTCTTAGCATTGTGATGGATTATTTAGTGCTTTCTACTGAGACCTAAAAGGGAGATATCACAGCGTGCGCTAGCCAGTCCTTTTAGTTTAAACCCGGGCACGTTCAGGCTGTTATGGCCGTAGACCAGCCAGTACTTTTAGAAGTATTTGATAATATTTGATTCTGTGGAGTCCATATTCAGTTTAACATCGTATCATGATCTTTCCCCCCTGTGTACTGTGGACAGTGAGCATACAAAAATAGTTGTGAAAAAAGGATAATGTTTTGATGAAACAAAAATTCCATGTTTGAATTCAAAACCAGAATTGTTCATTTGTTAAATATCAGTTCCTCAAGTTTAAGTTCCTCTTTATATCATTAGTCACTTAAACGTATTAGAGGCAAACTGAATTTTTCTACAAATATATCCTTATAAATGAAGAGGCATTTAATTGTTGAACTAATAGACCAAAAATATGAAATATGATGTAAGTTTTTGCATTTAAGTAGGTTCGTGAGTACATGGCTGGAACTTCATGTCCCTGCCCTGCAACCTCTGCTTGAGTTCCGTCTGTGTGCCAGTTGTATTGAGTTTGTGACTCTCCACGTCCTCCCATTACTATGAATGCTTCTATTTTTTTTACTCTGTTTTCACTCATTTTTGTGCCACAGTAACAAAGTTGAGAGAAGTGTTGGCATGTGTGTGTGAATTAGCTGTTCAAATGTGGCAACCATTGGAAGTGCAGCTCTTCAGGGGTCTTCCTGCCATCCGTCAGCTGCTGCGGTGCTGCTGGGCTGGGAAGCGTACGAGAGAGCGCCAGCCTGCCCAGCCTTCTGCAGCCACTGTGACCACAGCCAGTTACTTTTAGTTTTTAAAAAGTTCATTTTTCTATTTTATATAGTATAAAAAAGTAACATGTCTTAATTGGAAAAAGGTTAGAAACTCAGAGATCAAAAATTTACTATTGTTTTCATTCTTTTGAATATACTTACAAAGATACACAATAATTTTTTTTAAAGATTTATTTCTATTGTTTTTTTATTGGAAAGGCGGATATACAGAGAGGAGAGACAGAGAGGAAGCTCTTCCGTCCGATGATTCACTCCCCAAGTGAGCACAACGGCCGATGCTATGCCAATCCGAAGCCAGGAGCCTCTTCCAGGTCTCCCACGTGGGTGCAGGGTCCCAAAGCCTTGGGCCGTCCTTGACTGCCTTCCCAGGCCACAGGCAGGGAGCTAGAAGGGAAGCAGGGCTGCTGGGATAGAACCGGCGCCCATATGGGATCCCGGGCATGCAAGGCGAGGACCTTAACCACTTGTGCCACCGCACCGGGCCCTGATACACAATGATTTATATATTGAGTTGTTTTCATAGTTTTCTGCTTAGATTATAGATACTAACCCATTTGAATTTTCTACATTAATATTGATTGGCTAGTGCCAAAATTTACTATAATTCATTTGACTCTCTCATATTCACATTAGATCTCTATTCTGGTTTATTCTTTAAATTTGATAGATTTTTTTTCTTATATCCCAGAAGTTTAAAATATTTTATGTGATTACATCTGTTTAAAACCATCTGATCTTCTTTATATGCTGTAATGATTAGAAATTGTTCAGCACATTGCGATGAAAACTTATTTTTCTTACTTTGTTAACTGTCAAAATACTTGAATTAATTTGGCTGTCATCTAGTCATAAATACCTCTTTTTTTCTCAGAAGATTGGATTAATTTTTCAGAGCTAATTACTTAATAATGTCCTCTTTTCTTCCTATCTATCTATCTATCTATGATTACTCATCTACCTGAAAGGCAGAGTTATGGAGAGAGAGGGAAGATAGGGAATTCTCCATGAGCTGATGTGCTCCCCCGATGGCTGCAGCAGCCAGGGCTGGGACAGGCCAAAGCCAAGACCTGGAACTCAGTCCAGTTCTCTCAGGTAGAAGCAGGGATCCTAGAATGTGGGCCGTCTTCCCCTGCTTTCCCAGGTAAAGTGGAACTGGCACCCATGTGAATGCTGGTGGTACAGGCAGCCGTTTGTGGACACTGCACAATGCTGGCTTTATTGTTTTGTTTTAAGTGTATTCTATGTTTCTTACGTGCAGCTGATTTATATGAGCCCTAGTAAGATTATATCTCAGTAATAAAGAAGTTAACATGAAATGGAATGTTGCTTTGGAGAGTAAACTTGTATTTCTGTTTTTATGATAGGAGTTTTGGTCTCACTGTTCATTTAATGTGTATTGCTTACGTTTTTATGTATTAGAGTGGTTGTACAACATCAGTATCTTTTCATTTGTGTATTTGTTAGTATTACTTTACTAAGTTCAGATGAAATACTAAATGCGATGCTGAGTTGATTATAAGATTAAACGTTGCCTTAGTAAAGCATAATTTGCTTCCTTAGAAGCAAAAACCTATGCTGCACTTAAATATATTATGTGCTTTGTCCTCCAAAGCATAATTTTACCTACTGTAGCCTTAAAAATTCATTGCTTGCAGTATCTGACTTTTTTCTTTTTTTCTTTTTTTGGTTCAAGGGAAAAATTTATATACAAATGAATATGTGGCAATTAAACTGGTAAGTTCATGCTTCATGTTTTTCCTCAATTGTTGCTTATTATTTCTTTCAAAGGGAAAATAATGGGCGTAACTGATCTTGATCTTTGATTTTGTCTTCTACAAAAATCAGCCCTTTTACTTTGCCACTATTGTAAATTGGATTTGTAATTTGTGATACTATGTTTAATTAGGTATTATGTTTAATTAATTGTGTTTAATTAGCATTAGCAGTATTTCTCTTGGTAGTTCAAGCATTTTACACACCAGCGTGTTCTTTTGATTCAGGATTCTTTGCAAATGTATTTCCTAGCACCTTCTGTAATTTCTTTTCTGTTAATATTTTTTATGTGTGGTAAGACTGGTTATTGCTTGTCTTTGAGCTCTTCAAAGAAATGCTGTAACAGGGGAGGGAGATCAGGGAGAGTGAAGTCCTTCTGGACCTTTCTGAACCTCCAACTGTGGCCAGTGTGAAGGCTGCAGCAGGAGAAACTAGGGGCTAATCGGGACTCTGAAATCATTTTTATAAGATGTGCTTTCTCCAGGGATCAGTTTTCTTTTCTTGTTTTAATTTTATCTTTAATATGGCTTGCATAATTGAGGGGGATGCATGCCCGTGTGGGCCTCCGGTGAGGGCCAGGAGAGTGACATGGAGGAAGGTGGGACACAGGTTTTAATCCCTTCTTTCTTTTTTCCTCTAGTGACGTGGGAGGAAGCAGGGAGGGTGTTGCTTCTTGCTGTCAAACTGATCAGCGCCGAGACTGTTGTGGGGAAGTGTTCCAAGGGTGTTCTTGAGTGGCTTTGATAGCCCTGAGATGTTATCGGTATCATTGCTGCAGGGTTGAGTGAATATTTTCGAGGTCTGCTGATGGACATAGGCACCAGCTGCAAAGCTTGGCTGGGACAATTGTCCAGCGTGTCCTGCTTTCCATCCTCTGATGAGACGGCTGACTTTCCCTGCTGGCCTAGATGAGCTGGCTGTCATGTCCCCCATGTGTACCTGGACATGCTGTCTACTGTGCAGGCAGCAGTAGCCGAGGAGGCCCAGTCCTGATACCGTGCACTCCAAGGTTGGACCACGCATCCTGTGATTTTTTTTCCCCTGTGGTCAGGGTGTGAGTCCAGCAGTCCAGTTGGGGAGCTCTTCCCTCCCACCAAGAAACCTTGCCTGGGGTGACCTCAGACTTGACTTTTGTGTGCGATAGCCACTGTGCATCCTGTAGATGCAGATTAGTTCTGTCTCATTGCTCCTGTCTCACACAGACTGATGGGGGCTGATCCCAGCCAGACTGCCACTTATGTGCTTTTCATTTTTATTCTTTAAAGAAAAAATTCTTTTTAAAAAAGTGAATTTATTTGACTCGGTACAGTGGCCTAGTGGCTAAATTCCTTGCCTTGGATGTGCCAGGATCCCATGTGGGCGCAGGTACTAATCCTGGCAATCCTGCTTCCCATTCAGCTCCCTGCTTCTGGCCTGGGAAAGCAGTCGAGGATGGCCCAAAGCCTTGGGACCCTGCACCCGTGTGGGAGACCTGAAGGAGGGTTCCTAGGTCTTGGCTTTGGGTCGGCTCTACACCGGCTGTTGTGCTCACCTGGGGAATGAACCATCAGATGGAAAATCTTCCTCTCTGTCTCTCCTCCTCTCTGTATATCTGACTTTGTAATGAAAATGAACAAATCTTTTTTTTAAAAAAGTGATTTATTTTATTTGAAAGGCAGAGTTAAAGAGAAAAAAGAGGCAGGGTGAGAGATCTTCCATCTGCTGGTTCACTCCCCAAATGGCTGCATTGGCCACAGTTCAACAGGATCCAGGAGCTTCTGGGTCTCCCACATTTGTGCAGGGGCTCCAGCACTTGAGCCATCGTCTGCTGCTTTCCCAGGCCACAGGCAGGAAGCTGGATTGGAGGTGGAGCAGCTGGGACGAGAACCACTGCCCATACCTCTGGAGGATTATTGGGCTATGCCATGGCACTTTGAAAGATTGATTTCTTTGGAAGGCAGAGTTGGACACACAGAAGCTCACAGAGTCCAGTCACTGGTCCGCTCCCTACATGGCCGCAGTGGGCACACTGGAGGTAGGAGGCGAGAGTTTCTTATGGGTGTGCCATGTTGCATGTGTGGATCCAAGCTCTTAGGCTGCTCTCAGCTGTCTTTTCCAGGCACATCATCAGGGAAGTGCAGCAGCTAAGGCTCAGAGCAGCACCTAAATGGGTATAGCAGGTTGGAGTGTAACCTGCTTTTCAGCACCGTTCTTTCTGTTTTTGATCCATTTTGTGTAATGTTTTTCCTAATTTTTAGTTCCCACATTTTCCCTTCTGTTGTGTTAATCAGCTCGCCGATCAGGTTTAGCTATTTAATTTTCAGAGTTCTGTTGTTTCTTTACATTTTCTGTGACATTGTTATTACTTCCTTGCTGATTCCTGGATTTGTTACTCTGCTGTGGTTTTCTGTAGATATTTTCAGAATTTAGTGTTATTTGTACATATATAATTTGTGCTTTTGTTCATGTCTTTGTGTCTATAAATGCGTATATGGAAGATACACTCTGTTTTATCATTTAGGTAAAATCCAACAATAGGCAAAAGCTAATTCAAGGGTGATAGAAGTTCAAAAGTTCTTGCCTGTGAGGCAGGAATGGTGGGTGTAGGTTACTTGACTTAGTTGCCTAAGGCAGGTGTAGTTCGCAGAGCTCACGGGTCTATCTGATAATTAAGAATTGTGTTTCATCATATGTGAGTTTTTGTTCAGTTAAAACAGTTTAAAAGATATGGTTGCTACTGTCTGAATTTTCATGTCACAGTGTGTTCTTTCTTTTCTGTGACTTCATTTCAACCTAGAATCTATATCTAAGTTGTGGTGCAGTACGGTAAGCCACCACGATCCTAGCTGCTCAGCTTCCCCTCCAGCTTCTTGTTGTGTGATGGGGAAGACAGTCAGAGATTGTCCAATTACTAGGGCCTCTGCCATCCCTGTGGCAAACCAGGATGAAATTCCTGGGTCTCGTTTTGGCCCAGCCTAGCTGTCTGTTGTGAGCATTTGAGGTCTGAACTGCTATAGGTGGTATTTCCATCCTTCTCTGTCTGAGTGTGTCTCTTTCAAATAAATACATTCATTACAAATAAAAAATAAGAGTCATGGTTGAGTGTCAGGGCGTTTAGACACTGGTGGAGATGCTTGCATCTTGCATCTGACTGTGGCTGCCTGCTGATGCAGGTCCTGGGCACTGGTGTTGGTGCCTCATGTAATGGGAACCTGGCATTCACAGGCAAGACAAGGATTTAGTCTCACGTCCTTCCTTGGTACCTGGGAGATACCGGGGTCCTATGTATATTTGTGGGGGGATGGGAACTTTGTTAGCTGATGGAAACTTTTTCTCACTCTGTTTTTCAAACAAATAAAATTAACTACGTAAACAGTTCAGGGCTGAATTCCTGCGAATAGCAGATGTAGTGTTCCGGGTCACCATGTTGTTAGTTTCCAAGTTTAGGTGTGTATTTTTCTCTGTGGTCAGAGGTAAGCCTGAGAGAATCCCTCATGCCTGCTCTTCACCACACTTTTAGTTTACTTGACTTTATGTACAGTAATGAATGTCATCAGTTTATTGTATTCAAACATAAAGTTGGTTTTTATATTTATCTACCTTTGAACAGTGCAAGAAATCTGGTGCAATATTGCATTGTAGACTTGACATGCGAATTCAGTACATTAGCAAGTGGGGCTTGGTTGTTTTTGCTAACAATATCTATGTGTGTTTTTACTCTAGGAGCCCATGAAATCCAGAGCGCCACAGCTGCATTTGGAGTACAGGTTCTACAAGCAGTTAGGATCTGGAGGTGAAGTCTTCTCTTACTGTTGACATTTAGATTAAATTGCCACAATAAAATATTGTTAGTTTTAAGGAACAATATTTTAAATTTAATTGAAAATAGTTGCTTCTTAGGGCTTTTATTTACTAGACTTTTATTAAGGTCTGAGTGATTCCTTTTTGATTTTAAATATAGGAAATTTAGAGGCTTTTTAATTATTGCTATTGTATGCAGAGAAATGTTGTGAAAACATTTAATTCTGAGTGTAAGATGCAAATAACTGCCAAGTTCTTAAGTTTGTGGCAGTAAATTAGTTGTTAAAATGACTTGAAGATACTGTGGTGGGCTAAATAGTGGCCCCGTACGGATGCCCACGTCATAATCTCTGTGAATGTTACCACGGCACAAAGGCTTTGCCGCTGTGACTGATTACGGAGTTTGAACCGGAGATTCCTGCGGACTGTTTAGGTGGGCCGGAAATACAACCACAAATACGCACAGGACACAAGGCCAGGCGCACAATCTGCACACACCAGAAAGGAGAAGGCGGTGGGGCTGTGGAGCGGAAATTGGAGTTGTTGCTGTTAGATTTGAGCCTTAAGCACCTGCAAGGGTTTCTGGGAGTCTCTGTTAGAGCTTGTCAGGGGAGGGAACCCTGCCTGGTCACACTGATTGCAGGCTCCTGGTCTCTCCTTCCGGGAGAAGAAATTTCTGTTGTTTCAGAGGAGTCATTGTTTATTCAGTACGAATCTCCATCTGCAATGTTGAGAAGGCTTTGGGAATGTGTAAGGATGGTGGTTGTACAGTAATGAGATGTATTAAGATGTCATTGAGCTCAGCCAGGACCTGAGGCTTAATTAGGGCTTCCTGCAATTGTTAGAATGGTGAATTTTGTTAGTGTGTTTCTCATAATAAAAATAAGTATTTAATATTCTTCAGTGAGAGATCTGTGAATAAAGAGACAGTTTGGTTCTGTCTCTGTTCGCCCACGTGTCTCTCCTTTGTATCGCTCACCAGGAAGTAGCTTTTTTTCCCCTCTTGTTCACTGAATCTGTTTTATACATGTTCTCATAATGTTCATGGAAAAATGCAGACTATAAAAACCTATGCATGAGTTCAAACTTTTTGGCACCAAAATAACCTTCCTTTAATTTCTTTTTCCTTGAGGTTTTGTATCCTTACATAGATATTGTACACCATCACTTTCTACAACAAATATTTAGTATAGTCTTATTGTTTGATATCCAGTCAGTGTTCATTGAATAAAATGAAGATCCAGATTCACAAGTAAAGAACACACAGGTTGTTTGTTTGAAAGGGGGGAGGGGAGAGAGATTGACCCAGCAGCAGTCAGAGAAGCTCCGGGAAGGCTGCAGGTGCTGGCTCCTTCCCCAGAACTTGTACCAGTGGAGCTTGGGTAGGCCGGAGCCAGGACCTGAGGCGTGATCAGGGTTTCCTGTGGGAGTGCAGCGGATCCAGGCACCTGAGCCATTATCTGCTGGTCCCCAGGGAAGGGTGTTGCTAGGAAGCTGAAATCTGGAACCTCCTGCTGTTTGAAATCAAACCTGCCTGCTGTTTGAAATTAAAAGGAATGGGTGAGGTGTTCTTGGAGAGTGTAGAGCCTGGTGAAAAAAGAGGATCAAGGATAAACTACAGGATTCAGTGAATTGGTTCGAAATGAACTAGCCTATTGGTAGCAGAAATTGTGACAGAAGAGTTTAAAGAGCATGTGAGAAATAAGTTTTGAGATGGGCAATGATAAGGTTGGGATCCTTCCAAAGTAAGGAATCATGCTGCCATCCTTCATGTATGGCTCATCTCCCATAATCCTGGAGTGTTTCTGAAACTGTTTAGGTATCTCAACTTTTGCTGCTGTTTGGGTTATAGCTAATGCTGTGCCGCATTATAGCTGTTGCCATCTACTACATTAGAAATGAAAACAAATATACTATTGTGACACTCACTTAAAAGTAACAATACTAGTAATGCAAACATTTTAAAATGTGAATGAGCTGTACTTCCCAAAACAAAATGAGAAAAGTGAATTGCTTTACCTATTTTACCAAGCTCTTTTATGTCTGCCTTAATAGAAAAACAGCTAAATTTTTGTATCTTCTGTATTCTGTCATTTGTGATTCAACATGTCCTTTAGTACTTGGAAAACTTGCTCATTCATTTATCAGAGAATGAGAGTGGACAGGGTAAATGGCATCCTTGCGTGAAAGGTTTTCCGGGCCCCTGCCTCTGCTCCAGTACCCCTACCTTCCGCTTGCGAGTTGGGAACTGCTGACCTGGGAGTATAAGAAGTGTGTATGCTAAAGGTGAAATATGTCTTAACACAAAACATGTTTTAAAAAGAATACAGCTGGTGTTACAATTGGGTGTTAATAATTGTAATTAACATTTCTAATCAGATTTTAGTTTTGTTTAAATATGAGCTGTAGAGTCTAAATTTTAGTCTGTGTTAATGCTTTTATTCTAAATCTTTCCAATTTAACATTTTGTATGAATGACTCTGGAACTAAAGGTCGATCATGATACCGTTTCCTTTGATGATTCATTTGATGCCACACTTCAGGAACTATAGTGATTTAAGATGAGGGATAAAATGCCTATCCATCCAGCATTAATGTTTGTGATTTTAATTCATCAGTGCTGTTTTAGCACTTGAAAAACTAAAATACAAAATGAAATGTTTAATAAAGTGAATTTTGGGGGAATGAGGGTGGGGTTGTTGAAATGCACTTACTGAAAATTAGACATCCCTATAAATAGTCACAGAGAGCTTTCGTAAGCTCAGAATGGGTGGCTTTTTATAGCAGTCTCAAATAAAAATAGTTTTAGAACAGTTGGAAATGAATGGTGTTTAAGTTGATAGTTGACAGAATGAAAGCTTGCTTCTGCTGGTGACTTGGATTACACTCTGCTCTCTAGCAGTCAGATGCTTTGAACGCAGACACAGTGGGTGTCGTGACCACTCCTTGACTCTCCTTGCGCTTCTCTTGTGCCCTCTTTCCTGGACTTCCAAAAATATTGCTGCCTTTGGACTTGTCAGTCATACTTTTAGTTTGTTTTGTTTTTACCCTATGCCCTCTTATTAGTTCAAACTTTTTTTTTTTTTTTATTACAAAGTTAGATATACAGAAAGGAGGAGAGACAGAGAGGAAGATCTTCCATCTGATTATTCACTCCCCAGTGAGCGCAACGGCCGATGCTATGCCGATCTGAAGCCAGGATCCAGGAACTTCTTCCAGGTCTCCCACATGGGTGCAGGGTCCCAAAGCTTTGGGCCGTCCACGACTGCTTTCCCAGGCCACAAGCAGGGAGCTGAATGGGAAGTGGAGCTGCCGGGATTAGAACCGGCGCCCATATGGGATCCTGGGCGTTCAAGGCGAGGACTTTAGCCGCTAGGCCATGGCGCTGGGCCCCCAACTTTTTATCTTAACAATTTGACTTGTTCGCTCAGTGTTAGGAATTGTCAAAACTCATCCTGAGAAATGAAATTACATTTTAAGTAATTTTTTCTTTGTGGTCTGTATCTTCTTCATAAAAATTTGGAAAGGTCTCGTAACCATAAAAGTGAAAGCAGAAAGCACCTATGTTTCCATGAATCTCTCATCTTTCTGATTTTTCATTTTAGCCTTTTCTATTTATGTGTATGTTAACGACTCATTAAATGCATTTTATTTTGAAGAGGAAAGAAAGTTTTAAAGAGCAGCAAACATTTTTGAGGAGTGTTTAGGAAGAAACTAGTAGGTTTGTCCCCACATGGTAGGGGCTGTGTTACCCTTCACGGGTTGAATATGTCATATTTTGTATGAATTATTCAAGGGTGATGCTTGTTTAAGTAGTTGACAGTTGGAACAAACAACAGAGCCTGAACATAATCACATGGAGATTTGTGCTTATTTTGAAAAAGGATAGCATGGGTTTTTTACCCCACAAATGTGGCTAAATTTTGTTCTCACAAGGGAACAATGCTTTGTTAGTCTTTTCTGATTAAATGTACATGGTGAATGCCCTGTGGATTCTGTGTCAGTACGGGAGAAGTGCTTGTGTCTTAGTCACTCGCAGTGTAGGGAGAAGTCATGCCAGAGGCACTGCTCTCTGCAGGTGGCTGGGCCGTGGCTGGCTCATTTACCCTTGAAGGAGTCTGACTACTTGGCACTGTTTTTTTCTTTGAAATACTAGCAGACTGAATTGCACATATATTTGAAATATTGATGTTTCATTATGAAAAATTAAATCATAAGAATTAATAGCATCAGTTTTATTGAGCACAAGATTTTATGTATTGGAAATCTGTCAAGGTCATCAGATTTTACATGGTTTTCATTTTTGCTAGAAAACTTGAATTCAAGTATTGGTAATATATTCTTGTCAGTTTTTCTTGAATAGTATTATAATTCTAGGGAGTTCTTTTGTGTGTGTGTGTTTGGTTCATTTGGTTAATGAGAAATTTACAACAGTTTGTTTTAAGAAATCTTAATTGGCTGCATTTTCAGTTCTCTGATGAGGCCTTGTACGATAAAACAGAGTTAGTGTGTACATGGGCTGAGCAGAAATGTTTGCCTTTATTCATAAAGGGGTTAGAGAGAAAGGCTGGAAAATGCAGAAAGAGTGAAAGCACTTGAGGCATTTCAAAGCCTCTTGCCTTCTAACATGAGAATCTGAGAACAGTTGAAACACATCTGATGGCTTAAGCTCAGGTTATTTTAGGCAACACCTCGTGTAAGGTAAACAGAGGGAACTCATTGCCGTGCTGACCACAATCACCCTGCCTGGATGTTTGTTGTCTCTCAAGTCAGATAAACAGTTCAGTTTCAGTTGATGACTTGAAATGTTAATGTGAGGGACTCTTTTTCATCCAGTCTGGGCCTTCTGCAGACTTGAGTATAAAGCAACGACCTCCTATAATTTTTGCTTGGCACACTTTGGAGTAGAATAAACAAAAGCAGACATCCTTGCCTTGTTCATAAATGGAAAGTATTCAGGAGTTGACCAGGTAGTTTTTTGTTGATTTCCTTCATCAGATTTGGGAACCTTCTCTTCTGAATTCCTGAGGGTTTTGTTAGATGCTTTCTTTGGAACTATTAAGATACTAGAGTTTTTTCATATTTATTCTGTTAGGGTGCTGAGTGTATTTGGTAGACTTTAAACATTTGCCCAAGTCTGCACTGCTTTGATCATCTTAATCGTAGTGTTTTCTTCATTTTTGTATCTGTAATGTCCGGCCCTGTTTGACCTGTGGGATAAGATGCTGATTGCGATGCTTGTGTGCTGTCAGTGTGCCTGGGGTGGGTTCCTGGCTGCGCTGCGGGTCCCAACCTCCTCCTCAGGCGCGCCTGGGGAGACAGCAGGCCATGACTCAGACAGCTGTGTGTCTGACAGCCTCAAAGACGACCCTCATTGAGGTTCAGAATCCTGGCTGCTACCTGAACCAGCCTGGGCCGGGGCAAGCATTGAGACAGGAACTGTCGGAAGGACAAGCCTCCTTCTGTTTGTGCCTTCCTTTGCTCTGTCCCTGTCACTCTTCAAATAAGCACACTTTAATATACAATGATGGCCTCTGACTTTATATTTGAAGTTTGTATAATTTTGGATGGCTTTTATAATGAATTAACTACTAATTTAGAGACCTTGTGATTTCACAAGTTTCTTGCTTAGAAGGCCAGGCAAAAGCTTTGCTGGTTCCTCTGCAAGAGCCTCATTGGGCTGCAGTTACTTGTGAGCCTATACTGCATGCTCATCTTGGGCTCCCACCCTTGTCTGTGCTCATTGGTTTTTGTCAGAATTTACCTGCTTGTGGTTCAGGGTCCATGGCTTCTGGTCCCTAGGGCCTCCTCCCTGCCCTGGGAGTTGTTTGTTCTTGCATGGCCAACACAGGAGCCTCTTTGCTGCTGCTGGTGTCCAGCATCTAGACTCGTTTTCAGGGCCTTGGCCTCATGATGTTATGCGCACTGGGATACTTTTCCTTGTGAGTCACATCAGGTCACCAGACAAGTGCCGATGTCACTTCTGCCTTATCCCTAAACCTTAAGAATAAAATCTCAGAAATCTCATTTGTAGGGTGTATATACCCAGAAATTGTAGGGTGTGAAATTAGCCCTCCATAGGGTTATTAAGATAGCTGTGATTTTATTGTTCAGTTAAAATAGAATCTTCCTTATGTGTTAAGCATTTCAGGCCATGGAAATTTGAGCATATTTCAGAAGGTTTTTTGGAATAAGGACCAAAGGTTGGTTTGGTGTGAAGGTGTTTCTTATTGGTGTAAAGATGTGTTTTGTAACGTGCATAGTGTGAGCATCTTGAAGGCCTCTCCGGGAACAGATGCTTCAGCGTGTGGAGACACTGAGATACTGCAGCTCCTGTATGCCCGCCATCAGGGGTAACCAGGCTGCCAGGAACACAGCAAGGAGAAGGTGTAGGATGGGGGGTGTGCTTCGGAAGAGTTTATGATGTGTCTGGGAAAGGCACAAATGCTGTGGTGGTGCTTGAAACTATAAAATTTTAAAAAAATGTGTATTTGTTAATTTTCTGGGGGTAAAAAGCTTGGTACTTACAGTGGTGAGACTGTTAAAACCTGGTCTTTTCTTCCAGATGGTATACCTCAAGTTTACTACTTTGGCCCTTGTGGTAAATACAATGCCATGGTGCTGGAACTCCTGGGGCCCAGTTTAGAGGACCTGTTTGACTTGTGCGACAGGACGTTTTCCTTGAAGACGGTTCTCATGATAGCCATCCAGCTGGTGAGTAACGTGCTGGTGGCTCACTGGGAAAGCAGTTGGATGCTTTGTTGGTTACACAATTCAATAAAATGTTTGTAGTTTGATGCTTTAATACTGTTTGATCTAATAAAAATATTTCTGCTTTTCATATTATCTTTCTAGAGGATGCATTAAGCGTAAAGAAACTGACTCAAGTGTGTTTGAAAATTAATGTCTTAATTGCTTTAGGATAAGAATTACCACTTAAATGAGTTTTTCCCCAGTGTCTGTGTAAAAGACATGTAAAGGGAACCCTAAGAAGCATGAATTCCTAATCATGATGACAGATCTTACTGGCCTAGGAAAGGGAAGCAACAGATTAATGAAGGGAGCTTATTAATAAATTATTTACATTTCAGGGAACCTATGAGACAACGATTTAGAGTATGAATTAAAGGCACTTTTGAAATAAATGACAACAGGAGTATCCGCCATAATCTGTAAAACTAGGTTTGACCATTGACTGATTAGTTTCCCATGTATAGGTTTATCCTATTGAAGTATTCTGGTGTACTTGAAACTTAATGTTCAAAGATGTCTGATAAACAAAATTTTTTAAAAATGAGAAAAAACCAAATGTGCAGAAGTAGCCTGATTAGTTGAATAAAAGATTAAGAGCCATAAAATAATACATACTTAATAAGAGTGGGTAGTAAAAGAATGTGTCATGGCCTGTCAATTGCTCGTAGTGTATTGTCCATTAGAAGTTTTAAGTCAGGGGCTAGCATTGTGACGTTTGATGTCTGGTGGGGAAAACTGCTGCCTGGGATGGTGCTGTTGTCCTGGCTGCTCCACTTCTGGTCAGCTGCTGGCCGGTAGCCTGGGCAAAGCAGGGCAGGATGCCTGAGCACCTGGGCTTCTTTACTCACAAGGCAGACCTGGGTGAGGATCGTGGTGTCTGTGCTTGGTCTGGCCCAGCCCTGGTTGGTAAGGCCATATGGGGAGTGATGAAGCAAGGTAACAATTTATCTCTCCCCTTGTCTCTTTGTAACTCTGCCTTTTGTATAAGTGAATCTTTAAAGGAACAATTACAGATCATAGAAGTTACAGAATAGATGACTGGGAGTTGGTTAAAGGAGCCTATAGTTACGTTGTATTTACATGCCGTTATTAACACCATTATCTCTAAGTGAGGCAGTTTTGTTATTTGTGATGTTCTATTTTACAGCGGTTTAATCCAATGATATTACTTGATAATCTTTAAAATAGTTAATAAAAATATACTACATTATTATAAGATTCTGATTTTAAAATTTTCTGGGTTAAAGATGTTATTTCTGTTTGTTTTTAGTACTTAAAGAATAAAGATGTAATAAAAAGGAAAACATGTTGAATGGTGTTATTGTCTTTATTTAACAGTTTTTATTCGTAAGTTTTTGTAATATAGTTGTAAAGTTGCTAGGTTATTGAACTAAAGAAAACCATGCAGCTTTCTGCAGATGTCTGTATACTCCGGGTTATCTGTGTCATTAAAGTTTTGCGTGTTGTCAGATAGCACCCTCCTTAAAGTGTTGACTGAGTCAGGCTTGCTGATAGGAAAGGAATTCGTAAAATCCAAACATTTTATTTATGAACACCATAATTGGAAAGAGAAGGTTTTAACTATAGACTGATAATATTTAAAGTTTAAAAAGTTTTTGATATTCTTCTATGTTGTTTTCATTATGAAAGTTGTGTCTTGCCTCTATTATACTTTGTTTAGCTAGTTAACGCCTAAATAAAATTCCTCTTTTTTTTTTTTCTCTTTAAACTAAGATTTCTCGTATGGAATATGTCCATTCAAAGAACTTGATCTACAGAGATGTAAAACCTGAGAACTTCTTAATAGGACGACCAGGAAACAAAACGCAACAAGTTATTCATATTATAGATTTTGGTTTGGCAAAAGAATATATTGATCCAGAGACAAAGAAGCATATACCATACAGAGAACACAAAAGCCTTACGGGAACAGCAAGATACATGAGCATAAACACGCACTTAGGAAAAGGTACGTGTGCCTTTCGCAAGCACGGAAGGGAGCAGCCCCGGGACAAAGCTGCTGTTCATTTCTGCTTACAGTTTAGGTTTTGCAGGTATAACATGCACCTAGTGTTTATTTTTATTTCAATCTTAATAATAAAACATTTAAAGCAAGTTGCTGTAGAGTGAATGAATGACAGTTATCTTTACATTAGCTTCTATGTGTGCTTTATAGAACTTGGAATGTTCAACTCATGTTGTTACGGGATGTGTTTGCTCATTTCTACTGACATTGACTCCTGCTGTTAACTGGCTATAGTGTGTGTGAAATTCTGCGAGACTATAGCCCTCTGTTACAGCTGGCTATGGTATTAGCACCTTTTTAAGAGATAAGGTGCTTGGGGCACAGAATGTCACAGTGGGGAGAGTTGGCTTTCTAGTCTGAGCTTTGTATCTGATCCAACCAGAATTAATTTGTGTGGGGTAAGATGAAGATTGTGGTTCTTCTTGTGAATTACTTTTGAGAGTTTCTAGGTTGTATTTGGAGTAGTTTATTCTTCAGTCATGGTCACTGTTTGTGTCATAGGAAGTATAAGCAGTTTTCTGCTTTTGACTGTTCCTGATGTCTCACTCCCAAGAAATATCAGGAAAATAAGCCAATCAGTTATGTACCATCACCACTGTGAGCTTCTTACAGATTTGCATAGGACCTTCCAAGTTACTCCATTCTCTTTCCAACACTGGATCTGGCCTTTCTCTCCTGTTCCTTACAGACTAACTCATTATCTGCTGCTGTCCCTTACTTGCTTTCCGCTCGAAACTAACTTTCCTCAGTGCCTGCTTGTTGGTAGGCTTGTATGTTGTGTCCTTTCAGAATGTGCAATTTGCATTTATTTAAGGAAAGTATGTTTCAAACTCAAGTAGTTTTGGAGCTTGTTTTTCTATGGCAAATGTTTCTGGTGGTTTTGAGCTGTCATTGGGTTAGGTTATAGCTTAGGGAGTGCACTTTGTTAAACTTAGGCACATTTGTATTTGCATATGCAATGTCTGAGAAATTTTTGTTGCATGGCAGTTGTTAACAGAGTTGTAATAACAAAGAAAGGTCAGTAGTTGATTGTGAGACGTGAAGTCACAGCTGGGCCGTGGCTTTGTGTTCTGCATTGCACAGTGGTAAACAGGATCTGTGTGTAGAAACAGCAAAGTGAGGCCGACCTGATAGTTGGAAAAAGCCTTAGAGCAAGGGAAATGGCTCTGAACATCCCCAGGAATCTCTTGCTCTTCTCCTAAGGACAAAACAATTGTTTCTTTGGCAAATGCTGAAAACAACACAAAGCTTTTGTTTTTCTTTTAAAACATTTTTTTTTGAAGCAGTTATGGAGAGAGAGAGGCACACAAGGAGAGATTTCTTCCATCTTCTGGTTTACTCCCCCGAATGGCTGCTGGAGCAGGGCTGTGCCAGGTCAAAGCTGAGAGCTTCATCCCGTATCCCACCTGGAAGGCAGAGACCCAAGTACTTGGGACATCTGCTGCTCTCCCAGTTGCATTTGCTGGGAGCTGGATACGAAGTGAGGTAGCCAGTACATGAACCGGAGCCGGTATGGCATGCTGCCATTGGCAGTTTAGCCCACTATGCCACAGTGCTGCCGCTACACAAGACTTGATGTTTATTTTCCCCCGTTTGAGAAAGCCCTGCTTCTCAGTTTTCAGGTAGATGGATAAGATGGGTACTAGCAACAGAAATTTTTTTCTTCTCCAGAAAACTTGCAATCCTATATAAAAAAATAAGAGTGTGCTAAAGCAACATGCATTTGAATGCTGAAGAGTTCAAGCATTCTTTAACATGACATTTCTTGTGTGTGTGTGTGTGGTGCTATTAAGGTATAGTACTTTATGAGGGTTCAGGGCAAGATCAAGGAATAGAGGAAAGTGTGACTTGTTGATGTGGTTTTACTTTGTACCTGTCTAATTTTTGTGTTCCTGCTTTGCTTTGGTTTGGATGATTATTTGTAAAACCTTGTCTCCTTGGCCCATTCGTGTATTCATCTTGAGTATTCAGTGGCTTGTTGCATGCATGAACTTTTTAAATGGGTAATTTGGTCAGAAGTATGTTGTAAGCATGTATGTCTTGTTTTGTTTGAGGATTGATCCTGTATCAGATTTTGTTAAAAGGTTTATTTGTTTATTTGAAAGACGAGAGAGAGAGAGAGAGAGAATCGTTCTCTGCTGTTGCTGTCCAGATGGCCCCAAGAGGCAGGGCTGCCCTGACCAAAGCCAGCACACAGGCATTTCCTCCTGATTGCCCACATGGGACCTGAACGCTTGGGCCAGCCTCTGCTGCTTTCACAGCCACTCAGAGGTGACAGGTGGAGCGGCTGGAGTTCAAACTAGCACCCATACAGGATGCCGGCCCGGGGGGTCTTACCCATTTGTGCCACAGTGCCAGCCTTAGTGTTAAACAAGGAAAGTGAGGGTTACTAATGTCAAAATTGTAGAATTCAGCATTTTGATTCTTGTGGTACCTGTTGGTCTTTACTAGGCATTGTCAGTTCAGAAGGTGGTAAGGTGATATACTTTTATGCCTTTCTTTGGTCTGTGCCCATGTCAGAGGTGGAATCTTGACTGAGCTTTGTGTTACAGCTGTGCATTTGCATGGTTCACTCCAACAGAATCTTTATTTAGTGTTGTCTTGATGGATTGTTATTTTTGTGTCAGGTCTTAGCAAATCTACTTTTTCCTACCTTACCCTTTAAAGACTTTTTTTTTGTCTGAAACATTGAATCTTGTATCACCTTCCTTTGAATCCTTTTATTTCTTTTGTTGAAGTTAGTTGAGGTTAAGTAAAAACTCTATAGTTGGCCTTAGTGCATAGTCATAAAATGAGAACTAAATCTTTTGGGGCAACTGTTTGACATGGCAGGTAGCATGCCATCCAGGACACCTGTGTCATCTGTTGGAGGGCTCTGGGTCGGGAGTCCCAGCTCTGCTTCTTTTTGGTTTTAATTTGTAAATGTTTATTTATTGAAGGAGTTACAGAGAAAGAGGGATAGATAGAGAACAAGAGAAAGAGCAAGAGCAATCTCCTGTCCCCTTGTTTAGTCTACAAATGACCTCAGCAACCTGGGCTGAAGCCAGGAGCTAGGAGTTCCTATTCCATTGCTTTCCCAGGTGCATTATCTAGGAGCTTCTAAATCAGAAGTGGGGCGGCTGGGACCCCAAAACATCACTCACATGGCATACTGTTGCTTTAGGCAGCAGCTAAACCCCCTGCACCACAATGTCAAGGTCCCTAGCTCTCTTCCAGTTCCAGTTTCCTGTTGATATGTATTCTAGAAAATAGACGGTGATGGTTCAGTTAGCTGGATTCCTAGCGCCCATGCTAGAGCTCTGGATTTTATTTCCGAGCTCCTGAGCTCAGCTTGCCTCAGTCTTGGCTTTAAAGGCATTTGGGAGAACGAACTGGAAGATGGAACTCTCTGGCTCTTAAATAAATTAAAAGGAAAAAAATGTGTTTCTTAGGATATTTAAAGCTTTTAAATGATTCACTTTATGAGTAGAAGAGACAGAACTGCAGAATTACATTGTTTAAAAAAATTTGTTTTCTGTGATCTTGTCCTGTGTTGTAATCCTTGTGATTTATTTCTAGGTTAATTGTCCAGACTCCGAAAGCCTGCTTCTTAAGCTGCTCAAGCAGCATTTTAGAAAGATTTATTTATTAATTTGAGTGGCAGAGTTAGAGAGCTTGGGAGACAGATGTGCTGAGGGGTCTTAGCGTGTTGCTCTGCTCTCCCTGCGCCGCAGTAGCTGTGACCGAGAGGACGGGAGCTGTAGCCTGGAGTTCCCTCTTGGTTCCCGGGGCCCTGAGCACTCGCCCCGTCCTCTGCTGCTTTCCTAAGCACATTAGCTGTGAACTGGCTGGCTTACTGGCTTGGAGGTGAAGCAGCCAGGATACAAACTGGCACCCACATGGGATGCTGATGTGGCAGGCAGCAGCTTAACTCGTGTACCACAAACAGTTTTTTTTTTTTTAACAATTTAAAAATCTGCTTTACAATTACTATTTGATAGTTTAAAAATGTTTTCCTGGAGTGTAAAGAACATAATATTCCCTTTAAAATTTTTTAATTATCTATTTGAAAGGAAGAGAGAGAAGAAAAGGGTGGGGAGAGAAAGATAGAGATGGGAGAAAAGAGAGAATTTTCATTCACTGGGTTACTCTTCAAGTACCTGTAGTAATGAGATGAGGGCCACGCTGCAGCCAGTATGTGGGAATTCAGGCTCAGCGGGGCTCCCCCCGACCCCTGCTGGAGCCATCCCATATGACCTCCTGGGGTGCACGTGTGGGGAATGGGAAATGGTAGAGGAGCCAGGGTTCAAACCCACGCCCTCTGATAAGGGGTGGGGGTGTCTTCATGGGCACAGCGAATGCCTGATAGTTTCTTGGTGTTTTAGGGTAAAACTGTATGCAGTATGATGGTTATGTTGTACACAGTGGTTGGAGGATGTGTATATTTTGCTAAGTACATTTGTATTAGACACTATTTTCATTTTTAAATGGGTTTTTTTTCTGTTATTTTTGTTTTTGGGCTTCACCTCTATTTTTTTCTTGGCATTATAAATAGCACGGTTTCTGCCAGCACTTTTCTTTTGATTCATGTCTCCTAACCTGATAGCCAGACTTAGTGGCATTTTATTTACGTTAAGAGAACCAGATTTTTTTTAAATTGGAAAGGCAGATATACAGAGAGGAGGAGAGACAGAGAGAAAGATCTTCTGTCCAATGGCTCACTCCCCAAACGGCCAGGAACTAGGAGCCAGGAGCTTCTTCCTGGTCTGCCATGTGGGTGCAGAGTCCCAAGCTTTGGGCCGTCCTCGACTGCTTTCCCAGGCCACAAGCAGGGAGCTGGATGGGAAGTGGAGCAGCCGGGATTAGAACTGGCATCCATATGGCATCCCGGTGCATGCTAAGGCGAGGACTTTAACCAGGCTATTGCGCCAGGCCCAAGAGAGCCAGGTTTTTTTCATAGCACCACCTTAGCAACACAATCACCTCCTCTGACACCTGCTATGGCTTCTGAGTGTGTGTACTGGACTCAGTAGCTCAGAAAATTGCTTTTTATTTCTTTCTATGTCTCTTTGCTTATTTATTTGAAAGTTTGGAGAGTGAGTAAGTGAGGGCACATTTGTGTATTTCCATCTGCTGGTTCCCTCTCCGGGTGCCCACAAGGATCTAAGCTGGACCCAGCCTCTGCTGGGAGGTTGAGTCAGGTCTGTGCTCCCAGGTGGAGGGCAGAAATCCAGCTGTTGGAAGCCCCACTTGATTTCTTCTTGGGTGTCAGCAGAAAGCTGAAGGCAGGAACCAAAGAGAACCTGTCCTTGGCCTTTGATCACTAGATTAGGGTTTCCTGAAGAATCATGGAGGTGTATTTGAAAGATGCACACAGATTTAAATGTGAAAACTTGGTGCTTTAGACGGTTTCATCACTTAGAGATACTAAATGTCTATTATGTGATATTAAACTTCTGAAAGTTACATGTAAGCAAAAGTCAGTTCTCTGTTCTGACATCCTTAACTTCTAGAGGAAAGTGATGTCTCCCCCTCTCTTGCGTTTCAGAACAAAGTAGAAGAGACGATTTAGAAGCTCTGGGCCACATGTTCATGTATTTTCTAAGAGGCAGTCTTCCTTGGCAAGGCTTAAAGGTAATTGTGTTCTTCTTTAATTTCAGAAAGAACTAAGTTATGTTAAAGTCATTTTTGTAACTAAATGATTTTCAAAGTTGCTTTTTTTTCTTCTTTTTTCATGTTTTAGGCTGACACGTTGAAAGAAAGGTACCAGAAGATTGGAGACACAAAGCGAGCCACACCGATAGAAGCACTGTGTGACAATTTCCCAGGTAATGGATCATGCCGGAGGGAAGATGTGCTTCTGTACAGAAACCAGAGTTGTTCATTCCAATTACTTAAATTCATAAATACTTATCATGTTTTGAAAAAATTAACTCAGTGTGATGTGAATGATCAGCGTAAACCAGATATGGTTTGTATATTTACACAGGCAAATCCCGTGTTTAATAATGTTAACGAGTCAGTCCCAGCCAAAGTAATATTTTATTCAGTGACTTGATTTAATATGTTAAAATATTTGCTGGAGAATATTAACTACAAAGTTTTAGTGTATTGTGTTATTTAGTTATTTGGGTCTTAATGTCAGGTTTTTAGCAAGTATGTGAAATTGATTTAGTTTACTTTTAGGTAGATATTGATTATTTTGAAGTCTTTAAAAGGAAGAGAGGACGAAGAGAGAGTGTGTGCACTAGAGATATTCCATATGCTTGTTGGCTGCACAGATGGCCACAGCAGCTGGAGGCTGGGCCAGGCTGAAGGCAGGATTCAGGAACTCCCTCTGGGTTTCCCATGTAGGTGGCAGGGATTCAAGTACTGGAGTCGTCATCAGCTGCTTCCCAGAAAACGAGTGAGACTCCAGTTGGCACCCTTACATGGCATATGGACTAGTCGGTGAGGACTTGGCCTGTTGCGCCCCAGTGCCCACCCTAGTTTATTTTCCTAGTAAAATAAATTTAGATTAACATTACAAATTTAAATTGCATCTATATTGGGAGTCGTATACATATATGAAAATAATTTGAACTTTGAGGTAGGTTTGTGTAAACTCAAGCCAGATATTTAATCAAATGAGGAATAAAAATTTGTTGTTGTATCAAGATATCTCTATGATTTACCCAGCTGCACCCAGTGTAAAGATAACTGAATTAAACAGCATTGGGTTGCTGTCTTCCTTCTTAGTAATTCTCCTGTAAAATGCTGGCATTACTATTATAATGTCACTAGCAATAAAACCAGTGTAGCTTTTTTTCAAGTTTGCTTGTATTATTTGCTTATATTATATTGGCAGAAAATTTCGTATGTTTTTTGCTTTAACATCTAAAAGTGGAAGGTTAAAATAAATATTTGTTGATGGTAGCAGCATAGGAAGTGTAGATCGTGTGTCATCAGAGTTCTGCAGGAACAAGGGAGTGCTGGAGTGGAGGGGGGGGAGGGGGGGGGAGGGGGAGTGTCTCGGCACCGGAAGGCCCTGGGGAGCGCGGCCACGGGCTGTGCTCGCTCTGACCAGCTGCCTGTGGATGGCCAAGTTCAGCAGAAGAGAGAAACTAGACATAACCCAGCAGCCCCACTGCAGCGATTGCTGTGCCTGCTTGGGAAATACTGTTTTCCTAATTGCTTACCAGTTTTCACCTGTGATTTTAATGTTTATTTTTCTTCTCTTCCTTATAAAAAATGTGCCCTTTTAAAGCCTATGTATTTCATACATTTGGAGACTCTTAATAACATACAGAAATTTGTATTTTGCCAAATAATGATTAATGCATGAGAAGAAGTGGGCACTTTACTCTCTGAAGTGATGGATGTGTAACATAGTATTAGTTTTGTTAGCTCAGTTGGTTAGGAGACTGCATGTAGCTAAGGAATGTGGCAGGTGCTAGTGTTGGTATTGTGTATCATTGATTCTAGAGCAAACTTAGCAGGCTTATGTAAGTGCTTCGCAGAAAGCAGTTCCTACAAATATTTTAAATATGTGTTTCACTTTATATAATGAATATGATTCTCTGTGAAATAATTGTGTATTACTAAGCTGCTAATTAAACCTGATGCTATCCAAGATTTCTGTCAAAAGTTACAGAGTAAAAGCTAGCTTTTCCTCATACAAGCATCCTGAAGTAACGGCCATGAGGCTAAACCTCTTAATTTCCTTTTGTCTCTTTCTTTCTGTCTCTATTCTCTATTCCTCCCCCTCCCTTTTCATAAACTGTGAGTGTTTTAAATTGTGATAAAATTTTGATACGTCTCTGTTTTTGTAATACAGATGCTTTTAGGGCTTATTTAAATTTATTTATTAAATTTATTTAAGTTACTTGTTATTGGGTATTACAGAAGAATTTATGTAGTCAGAATAATTTTTATATCCTTTCTAGAAGAAATGGCAACATATCTTCGTTATGTAAGAAGGCTAGACTTCTTTGAAAAGCCAGACTATGACTACTTAAGAAAGCTTTTTACTGATTTGTTTGATCGAAAAGGATACATGTTTGATTATGAATATGACTGGATTGGTAAACAGCTGGTGAGTATTCTGTGCTTGTGGTAGAATGTTATGTATCCTGTTCATAACAGGCAAATTCTTCATTTGGAGAGTTAAGAACAGAGAAATTTTTACAAGAATTCTTTTTATTTCCCTTTTAAAGGATGTTTCTTAAGATAGCAACATACTACCATTCTTTGAATTATGTAGTACCCATGAATTTGGACTTTTGACATCCAAGTCAACAGGAACTCCGTTGGCATCTTCCACTGCTTTTCCAGGGCCTTAGCAGGGGGTGGGATTGAAGTGGAGCAGCGGGAATTGAGCCAGGGCTTGGGTGTGGGATGTTGGTGTCACAAGCGGTGACTTAATTTGCTGTGTCCCATCAGTGATGAAATCGGAATAATTTTATTTGTTAAAGGCTTATTTATCTATCTATTTATATATTTCTTTAAAAGGCAGAATTAGAGGAGAGGAGGTGGGAGATCTTCTCCTGTTGATTCACTCCCCAGGTGGACACAGCAGCCATGTCTGGGCCAGGCCGAAGCCAGGGCTCAGGAGCTTCCTACGAGTCTCTCGTGTAGCTGGCAGGAGCTCAAGCTGTAGGACCAGCTTCCTTTGCTTTCTCAGGTGCAGTAGCAGAAGGCTGGATCAGACGTGGAGCAGCCAGGACTCACTCTAGCATTTGTGTAGTATGATAGTACTGCAGGTAGTAGCTTACACCACTATGCCACAGTGCTGGCCCCAGTTTAAGTATTTTTGTAAGCCTACTCTCTGAGTTAAAATATTAAAGCTAGGTGATTTTGTTAATTTTGAAAACTGTTCTTTTAATAATACTTAATTTACTCTGCTTATACTTTAGTTTTGGAAATTTTGATAAGGAAAAGTTAACACTAGAGTAATGACGCCATCAAGATCTTTTGTAAATGAAAAAATTTTCTTTTTGTTTGAAATACAGAGAGATTGAGCAGAGAAAGATAGTTCATCTGCTGGTTCACTCCCAAGATACTCCTAACATCCAGGGTGGGGACACACTGAAGTGCGGAGCTTGCAACTCTGGATCTACATGTGGGAGCCTCAGACTCAGGGACTGGGGTCACTGTCTGCCTCCTGGGGTGCTCCTTAGCGTGCAGTGGGACTAGAAGCTATGTAACCAGGAAAGTGTGTGTCCTCAATGCCAACTTAACCCCTGAGCCAAATGTGTGCCCCATTTAGGAACTGGAAAAACACTTTAAAAGTGGCTAAGCCTTTTTTCTTGTTTCTTAGTTTGTTAGCTGTGACAACTCATTTTGAGAATGATACATTGGTAAAGTCATGATTTATTTGAGTATCTTATGTTTTTCTTGATCCCTTTAAGCCGCTAAACGATGTTAAATAAACAATATTAAACAGAATGAATTGTGATTTCATTGCAGCCTACTCCAGTGGGTGCAGTCCAGCAAGATCCTGCTCTGTCATCCAACAGAGAAGCACATCAGCACAGAGACAAGATGCCGCAATCCAAAAACCAGGTAGGATGCCCTGCTGCAACGTTAAGACACATGGTTTTCCTTAGTAGATAAAACATTATGCATACAGCTTTTGTAACAATTTTCATAACTTTTTAGTTGAATAATAAGATTAAAATGTTTAGCCAGATTCCCATTTAATGTTTTAAGTTAGTATAAACTTTGAGCAGTGTTTAGTATTTGTTAGGCTGGAGGTATATGGCTGGAGGTATATGGAGGTATATTGATATGAACTGTACTTACGTTAAACTCTCCAACTTTCTAGCTAGTACTTAAAGAATCTGTAGCTTAGACTGACATAAATCAAAATAATTCAAATTTAAACAACATAAAGAACGAAACAGTAGTGCCACTGAGATAAATATTGAAGATCAGGGCCAACTGCAGCCATGGAACACTAAGCACAGTAAGTGTGATGCACCGTCTCTTCAGAACAAACAGGCACATTTCATATACCACAGAATCCTCTGGACTTGACACACTCTTGGCTATCAGCTGCTTATCTGGGGATATTATAGTTAATCATTTGAAAAAATTACTCTTCTTTGAGACTCACAGAACTTAACCTGATTAGTGATTCACACATATTTAAGGAGAGTCTATTTTCAAAAGATAACTTTCCTGTCTTGATGGGAAACTGAATGTATGGATCTCAAATTCAAAATATAAACCTACCCTCAAGTATTTCCTGCATTTCTGTGAGTATATGTACTTGTACATGTGTGTGGTGATGTGTGTATGGGTATGCAGGTGTGTGCTGAGGTGTATGAGGGATGACAACTGTCTGATGTAGCTTTCTGTCTGTGCAGGAGGTGGATAAGCAGGTATCTGAGTAAGCGGGGATAGCACGAGGTGCTAGGAGAAACGACAGGAAGAGAACAGGATTTAGTAGATCAGGATTTCCTGGAAAAAATCGAGGCCTAAAGAATCTGTCTATCTATCTATCTATCCATCTGTCCATCCGTCCGTCCGTCCGTCCATCCATCCATCCATCCATCCATCCATCCATCCATCCATCCATCCATCCATTTATACCATTGAAGAAGATAGAAGAGGGCCAGGCAGGAGTGTTCCAGGCCGGAGGGACAGTATGCACAGGTACAGTGCAGGGGTGTCAGTCTGTTTTGAGAAATGAGATTGGTCGTTAGACAGGTTGCAGGTCAGCAGGGATCTAACAGGTTTTGTTGTTCAATTTGGACTCAGGCCTGAGGATATTATGGAACTATACGGAGAATTAGGGGCAAACCTGACTAGGTTACTGGTTGGTGAAGACTGTGGACCGTGTTGAAAGGTTGGAGTCGCAGTTGCACAGTCCATAGCTAAGTCAGAATGATGGATGGTGGGGAAAGAGAAATGAAGGGATCTGAAGAACATCTAAGAAGGTCAGGTTTAGTTGTTTGTAGAGACTGAGAAGAAAGGAAGGTTTCAGTTGCTTCCTTTTTGTGCATTTCTGCCTGGCCAATCAAGATCTCCAAAATTGGATTTTAAAGTGCCGCGTTGGCAGCAGACAGTAGTAATTTCCTTGCAGCTAAACATTCTGCTGTAGCACAGTGTCACTGAGGCCAGTGCCCACTGACAGTCTGATCCGTTGACTCTGGGAGGCAGCCCAGGAAGCAGAGGGAACAGGGCAATTGTTCACACCACCCTTGAAAAACCAGTTTATATGATACATTGTGCACTGCTCATTGTTTGGAAATCTCATGTAGTTGAGCAACCTGTGGCCTGAATCTCAGGAATAATGTGACTGAATTTGGGTGGTGGTGGGCATAAAGGCTAGAGTGACTGTCTATGCAAGACACGGACCATGAGGAACAGAAAGGACAGCGATGACTGTTGTCACATGCAGTATGATCCTTTGTGCATTAGAATGTCAGAAATAACAATCCCAGGCAGTATTAAGACAGAACGGGTTAGACGGATGTACCCTGAGTCGTGGAAAAGTGTATGTGATTCAGAGTCAGGGTATTTATAGAGCCATTTGTCATTCAGTTCCCGGTTATGCCCATTGTGAGTGCTCTCTTTTCCAAACCATTTTTAAAGCTGGTTTTACTCTTCTCTGTCCCATCTTTGAAAACTAACAAATTACCAGTAAAGAACAAAATCAAGTGACTGTTAAAACCACAACATTTTGTTCATACTTTCCTGGGGTACTGAAATGTGTAAAGGAAGTTGTGGAAGAAGTATAGTTGCCTGCCTTTACTGCAGAAAGAAGCTCGGAATTTCACTGGGAGGAATCAGTGTTGTGAATTAGTTTTGATACTCTTTTACAGTAGCATAACAATGGGCTTTCCAAAGATTGGAATGCTAAAGGAAAGCAGGCCTCTAATCAGTAACTCTGTAAGTGGAAGATCAGTTGAGAATCTATTTTGGTAACTCTTGGTTGAGAGAATGTCATTGTGCCTAGAGTCACCTTCTGGAATACCGAGGTATCAGTTACATGACTATTGCTATTAGCTGCAGAATGTTAGGAAAGTGTTGTTTTGTAAAATACGGTTCCAGTAAACTCTGAAAATCACTCTTTCAACACTATCTCATTTGTTAGTATGCTTTCTTGAGGATCATTTTAAGAAGGAATTGAGCATGTAGATAGACTGCACAGCATTTTAGTATTTCCAATGTATTTATTGGTTGAAAGAGACCTGTTGAATTAATTCAGCCATTCCTTTATGCCCAGTAATTATACTTAAATCAATAGAAAAATAGGGAGAGAGTTGTAATTTGTATGATTCCATTAAATCTGGAAAACATGTTAATTGGCCTTTAAAATCCATCAATCAAAAAGGTATCATGCTTATATTCAAAGGTCTGAGAGGAAGTTCGTTTTTTTAAAAGGTTTATTTATATTTATTGGAAAGTCAGATTTACAGAGAGAAGGAGAGACAGAGACCGAGAGAAAGATCTTCCATCCACTGGTTCACTCCCAAAATGTCTGCAACAGCTGGAGCTGAGGCAGTCTGAAGCCAAGAACCAGGAGCTTCTTCCAGGTCTCCCTTGTGGGTGCAGGGTCCCAAAGCTCTGGGCTGTTCTCAACTGCCTTCCCAGGCCACAGGCAGGGAACTGGAAGGGAAGTGGAGTAGCTGGGATACAAACAGGTGCCCATATGGGATCCTAGCACATACAAGATGAGGACTTCAGCCACTAGGCTACCATGCTAGAACTAGATTGGACAAGCATCTGATATGTCAGCTAACGTTAGCTCTCCATGCTGTTTACTTGTGGCTGTGCCCCCAGTGTCTTGTCTTAAACCCCAGCTATAGCTGGGGCTTTGTTGCTTTATTTTCTGTTTTCCTTTTTTGCTTCTTAAAACTGCTGTGAGGTTCTTGACAATTGAGAATGTCAGGAGAGATTTTTTTTTTTCGCGAAATGAGAAACATGTAAAACACCTGACTGATAATTTTAAAATGGGAAGCCTCAGCTCATGTGTCATTTTTCATATTCCTTCATTAAAGAAATCACTCTGATGAACACCAGTATGTCAGAGACTCATCTCTTAGCTCAAGTTAGAATTTTAGGAATAAAACCTAAATATGATCATTCTTCAGACTTCTGTGTACAGAAATAATTGATATATATAGTTGTTCATCCTTGTCTGTTCCAGGATGTCCACACACTAGCACGTGTTGCAGGCACCTGTGTGCACACACTGCGTCCTCAGACTGTGGTGTTTGTCATCTGTGTCCCCTGGCACAGACTCTGCTTATCTCCAGATTACTTACTATACTTCCTACAGTGTCAGTGCTGCAGCTGTTGAGGGACTGATGATAAGAAAGTGCTTAGCATGCACAATTTTTTTTTCTTAGATTTTTATCATCGATTGAATTCATGCGTGTGAAGTTTATGGGTGAGGAGGTCCATATTGTATTTATTTAATTAATTTGTGTAGACTTCCAGGAATATAACATACTGTTTTTAATGTCTTCATTTTGCAATTGCAAGATATATGTAAGCTTTTTCATTACTCTAATGAAATGCCTGAGTTAGGCTGACTTTATAAAGATGTTTAGCATGGCAAAGGATTCTCAGTATTCGGAGTCCAGGATCAGGCCGGTCCTGCTGGCCTGCTCTCGAGTGACTGTGTTTGGAGTCTGAGGCACAGAGGCCATCATGGGACAAGATTTCTCTTTCCCATCAGGGGATTGCACTGATCTGACCTAACCTTTATCAGTTCCCAGAGACCTTGATTCTAGACATCATAATTGGATTAAAATTTTACTCTTGTCAATACCATTAATTGAAGATTTTAAGAATTTAACTCCCGCATGAGTTTGGAACCCAGTTTCCAATTAAGCCATAACACGTAACATCTAAGATCATTGTTAGATTTCGAGCTTGGAATCTGGGAGGGTGCTGCAGCTTTAACTGATGTAGGAATGATAGGAAGAGTAATGGTTTCCCTTTAAAAGTGAGATTTGCTTGCTTTATTTATTTATCTATTTATTTATTTGAAAGAGCTACAGAGAGAGTGAGAGGAGAAAGAGAGAGAGCAACAGAGACAGATTTTCTTCTTGTTTTGTTCCTCAAGGACCAGGGCTGGGCCAGGCTAAAACCAGCAGTTCATTTGGATTTCTCATGTGGGTGGCAGGGACTCCAGGACTTGGGCTGTTCTCTGTTGCTTTTAACAGGTGCATTATCTGGAAGCTGAATGGGAAGTGGAGCAGCCAGGACAGGAACTGGGGCACAGGTGGAGGCTTAACCTACTCTTAACCTACTGGCACACAGTGCTGGTCCAAGTACAAGTTTTATTAAGAGAGAGAATATGATGAATTTAGTTTGGTTTTAAAGTAAGTTTGAACTTAGTCCCAGTTAACTAAAGAGGTGGGTCATTAGTTACATTCCTTTCTGGCCCCCTTTATAGAGAGATAAGAGTCAACAGTGATTATAGGTGGAATTGATAGAATGTGGTCACTACTGGTTGAGCTCATGCCATTATACCATGGACTATACTTTAAATTTTGGTGTCTACATTATATTTATATCTGTAAACAGTATTTTATATGCTGATGGTTAGGTATCAGTCTCATGTTAGCCTTGTTGAATGTATACTGTTTCCATTTTGTAGTTGAGAAAAACTAAGGCTTAGCAAGCTGCGGTGTGTGAGAGTCAATAGTCTGCATGGTAAAGTGAAGTTTGAAGTCTAGACTTGTTTTAATTCTGGAGTGCTCAGCTCCTGCCACAAGATAGAGAAATGAAGGTTGGACTGTGTACATTGAATATATTTTGTGAGAATCATCAGTAACGTTCAGAAGAATACTCACTGGAGTCCTGATGTGTGGACTGAGAACAGGTTGGAAGCAGTTAGGAGAATGAGTCAACACTGACAATGCTCTGTGAAGAATTCCAAACAGGGTAGAGCGTTAAAGTCTGTGACTGCCTGGAAACTTTAGGTAGTGTAATAGAAAAGACCCATGAGAGAATGCGCTCTGATCATTTGAAAGATTTAACAGCCTGTAAGTAGGCCGAGAATCTGAGGCATCTATAGTATGAGACGCTTCAGGAAAGTTTGTGAAAGCTGGGTTAGAATACTTATTTTGTACAAAAAGTTGAAATCTATGCATAATTTTTTCATGACTTACATTTCTTGAAGACTTTTTAGTTTGTATACATAAATCTCAAAATTACTTTGTACCCAATTAGCCTTACCTTTTAATTCTATTTTCCTTGAGGTTTTTAGTGTGTGATGGCAAGGCATTAAGTGAGCAGTGGATTTTTTATTCTTAGTTAAGCAGGAAGCCTGTAGTTGGAGCTCATTAAGCAGAACATTATACCTGATGTGTTTTTTGTGTTAAAAGGAGCACTCTGTTGTGTGGAAAATACATTTTTGAGAATGTAGACGCCTGTGAATGTTGAGGTTGATAGTTTTTTTTTTTTTGACTGAAGGCTCCTGGTGACTTTGGAGTGACTTAACTTGGCAGTCAGAGAGATTTGGAGAACTGGTTAGTTAGGAGATGTGTTAGGGAAAATCCTGGCCTGCCGATGACTGGATGTGCAGTCTGCCGGCAGAGGAGCATGCTGCCATCCGTGGAGGTGAGCCGTAGGAGATGGAGACCTGAGCTGGGCGCCATGCAGGTGCAGCTGAGGTGTCGCTGACCAGGAAACCATGAGGTGGGACACAGGAGGGGGCTGTGTAAGTCGCATGTGTGCCATCTGAGGAAGTCATTGAAAACCATGACTTAGTGCTGTTACTATATGTAGTGGGGTATGAAAACCACCTACTAATTGTTTGTATTCCTCATATCGACTTTCTGACTTCAGTATTTAATTTTGCTTATCAGTGTATATCCTATGACTTGGTTTGTCTGCAACGTGTGTATAGGTACAATTCTTTTGATTTTTTTTTTTCTCTCTTTGCAGGTTGTAAGTTCCACAAATGGAGAGTTAAATACAGATGACCCGACTGCAGGTCGTTCAAATGCACCCATCACGGCCCCTACGGAAGTAGAAGTGATGGATGAAACCAAGTATGTATTGGCCTTGCTTCTTTTATTGATCTTTTCTACTTGAGCTGTGCATGTTTGAGATGTCTAGTCACAGTTATTTCAGGAAATAGTTGCATGCAAAACAAAATGGTGTATTGAATTGTTTTAATGACTAAATTTTAACTAGTACTATTTCAGTTACTGTAACTAAAGAAAGAGCTACTTAAGACCTGGGCTCAAATTCTTAATCAGAATTAGTACCATATTATATATGGCTTTTGCTTTTTTTTATTTTAGGAGTATTAGTGCATGAAAGTTCTTGCTCTGTTGGTGATGATCATTTTCCCCTATAAACATAGGAATAATTACTAATCTTATGGAATGATGCATGGTTAAATTTTAGCTTAAATTATTTTTAAAAAATATAAATTACAATGCTGCTTGGAAAAATTGAGCATGAAAAACTGTGATAATTTCAATGTGGTGATATGGGCTGTTTCTGATGATCTCTCTTTGTCTCTCTCTCTCTCTGTTTTCTTGTTTGTTTGTTTGTTTTTTCTTTCTTTTTGTTTTTGTGTATAGCTGCCAGAAAGTGTTGAACATGTGGTGAGTTCTCAAGTGTAGACAGGCAGAAATAACTCCATGGGTTGTAATTTCAAAGATATAGCATCATATTGTGGCTTTTCAAATGAAACTTTTCAACATCAAAGTTCTAATTGGTGATAAGTATATTTGATGTCATTTACTTAACCCTGAAAAGCTGGAGATAATTAAGGAGCTCTTGCCTGCCACAACTTATTTTTGTTTAAAATGTTGCTGATATGGGGACATTTTCTAACTGAGTAGAGGATTCTGCCTGTGAATTTCTTTTGTAACACAATTTTTATCTGATTTTTAAGCATGCACATAGATTTTTGCTTTTTATTTATTTACTGTTTATTATTAAAAATGTACAGCAGATCACCCCCTCATAGTACCACTAAACCTATCTTCGTTTACTAACCACTTCTCATTGCCATTTAATACGACATTGATACATTTCATAATAAAATATAGTGTGAGAAATATTAGAAACCGTCCAGGGTAGTATAATAATTACAGATTTTAGGAACCAGTATTAATAGAAGTAATATTGAATGTAGATTTGTTCTCTGTGTTTTAGTTGTAATATGATATTTTAAATGCTTCTTTAAGTTTCAGAGCCGATTCTGAGTGTATCTTGGCATTGATAAAGGAAGCTGCCTAGCTTCATAAATGTTGAAACCTTTTACTCATAGATAACAGGAACCATAGCTGTAATTCCCCAAGTAATGCTCATTTGTTACTTCAAAATGAGGAAGGCTCTGTGGATGTTTTTTTGAAGTGCAGTGAGCAAGTGTCCATTTAAGTGTTTTCAGTTCAGAATTTATTAATGGTGTGACTAAGTTTAGTATATTTCAGAGTAAAAATACCTCGAAAAGTTCTTGGAAAGAGTAGGTTATGAAAAGGCTATGCTTAAACTTCAGAACATTTTTTAACAAGATAAACTTACCTTTAGTTCCACTTTCCCCAAAGCTTGTTGAAGTACCTGTAGAATCAGCCAGCTGCCTACAAGTATGTTTTCAAGTGAAGAACAAGGCACTGGCTTGTGTGTGCTTGTCAGCGTCAGTGGCTCTGAGAGTACATGGCAGTCTGGCAGGTGTGAGGGCCCGTGCACTATAGAGTCCCGCCCCTCCCACGTCTGCGTTACCTTCTGCTCTCGTGTCTGCGCCTGACGGTTCTCGGTAGAGCTCACACCCCTGCTTGTTTCTTTGAGTGCCGCTGCCACAGTCCTTTCCTGTCTGTGCCTCCCGGTCGTGGGCATCTCCTGCCGGTGTGCAGTGTCTCGGCTTCTTGGGGCCTTCCGCTGAAGCTGGCTGTGCTATGCTCCTCACAGCTGCTCTTAGTGTAGCCTGCTGCCTGTGTCCATCTGCTCATTCATCCACACTGCTGAGTTTCCAGAATTATCTGAGACAGCTCTCGCTCTTAAGTAGACTACACACTGGCAGGGAAGGCCCTGGGTCATCAGCATCTCCCAGGACAGCATAAATACTATCGACAGGTTAACAAGACCTGTTAGAATTTGCAAGGATAAAGATTCCTCCATGGCCCAGGTAATCAGACAGTGCTTTGTGGAGGTGGCTGCGAAGAATGTCCTAGTCCTGTTTAGTGGGGATGGGCCTGGGTAAGTATTATGGGTTTGGGTGACTCTAGGTGGTGGAGGATGGGAGAGAGGAATATATGGGACGGCTGTTTGTGCAGGGGTGAGTCTCTGTTGCATGGAGGGTTATGGAATGGCACCAAGACCCTCTGGACTCTGAGCGTGTGGCTCGTTCTGACTCTGCCAGCTCAAATTTCCATTCTGAATCCTGCCTTTATTATGATCTTGTTCTCTGTGTATCTCTTGCTTCATGAAATTTCTTGAATTGCTTGGGAACAGGATTTTAAAAATCTTTGCATCCCCAGTGGCTGCAACAGTATTTCTATGTAAATTATTTCTAAATAATTAACCAGTGTGATATACCCATGTAATGCTTTACCATGAAATGAAATGGAGAACATTCTGCTAACTGAATGACAGAGATGAATAGCCTCATATATGACGTGAATCCGTTTAGGTAAAACATCCAGAATTATGCAAATATACAAGCAGAAAAAGCAGGTGAGAGAAAGAGAGATGAAAAATAGCAGGATTTTTTACAGGCAGTGAAAATATTTTGAAGTTGGATAGGAATATATTGAACACTGCTGACTGGTATATTTTAAAAGATGAATTTTATGCATACCAGCTGTATCTTATTTAGGAAACAAAAGAATAGCAAACCCAGACTTTGGTGATGCTTCGGTCCCAGTGGAATGCAGAAGTCTTAACAACTGCTCCGCCTCATCACTTCACTAGTTAGAAACTCACTCTAATAAACATATACTATTTTGCCTTTCCTTTAATTGGGTTTCCTTACCATTCCTGTGAGTTCATTGGTGGCGTTCCTCTTGTTCTGTGATGAAAAGATGCTTTCTGCATTGCCTCTGCTGCCCTTGACTCTGTCTCCATTGTAAAGGCAGCCTGGAACTGGCTTGGCGTTCCCTTTTAGAGCTTGCTTCCCTTTGATCTCTTCTTAGCTATCCCTGGCAAAGACCCATGTTGTCTTAGCCCTTTAATTAGAACTTACGTTGCGGGGGGCATTCGTGGTGCAGTGTATTAAAATACTGCTGCTTGCAATGCTGCCATCTCCGTTGAGCATTGGTTTGGGCCCCAGCTTCTCTACTTTCCATTCAGTTCCCTGCTAATGCATCTGCAGATTGATTTGTTCAGTAATGAACAAATAATTCCTTATTGGGATCAATATGTGGATGCTTCAAAAGTGGAAATAATATATTTTGATGAAAAATCCATGCATTTTTTTCTTTTTTAATAAGCATTTTCAGTACTAGCATAGTTGTATAACAGATGAAGGCAGTGCCAGGGTGCCATATGAGTGCAGTTCAAGTCCCAGCTGCCTGGTGGTCAGTGTGCACAGGCAGTGGAGGACAGTCCGAGTGCTGTGGCTCCTGCAGCCCACACACGAGACCAGGCTGCGGCCTGGCTGAGCCTCCGCACTGCCAGTTGTTGTGGCCATGTGGGTGAGTGGACTGGCATGTGGGGGTCTCTCTCCACCTCCTTTTCCTCTCTCTGAATCTCTGCTTTTCAACTAAATGAATCATTAATAAGTTATGTTTTCTATGAGCTCTCTGAAGACCCCTGTAAACTGGTACTTTATACATTTTGGCACCAAAATCAACATATGATTCCATCTTTGTGGACGTTTTGAAGGTTGCTGAAAATTTATCATGTCTGATTTCCAGATGATGGAAAATGTTCTCTTCCCATGTATGTAGTGGCTACTTCTTTGTTTATCTTTCCTATTTAGTGTAATTGGTAATTTTATGTTAAGGCAGTGATAGAAATCACAGCAGTACCGTCATTTGTTCTAGAAAGGGGAATAGACTTCCTCTATTTACCTCTAAATTTTTTATTTGATTATCAAAGAGGCAGAGAAACAGACTTTTTTTTGTTTGTTTCTTTCACTTCATTTTTTGCTAACATTTACTGAATGCATTATTGTGTATTTGGAAATAACTGATGAAGATACATCACTGATGTTACACCATTATGTAAGATAAGAACTATACCAATGACCCTTATACTGTATTTCTCAGTCCTGGCTTCAGATTACAATCATTTGGGCAGTTTTAACAGTATATTAGTGCTTAGACTGCAGTTTCTGAATTTCTGATCAGCTAGTTGGTCTGTGCTGGGACCTAGTTAATAATATTTTAGAAAAGTCTTCTCAGGCGATTTTGAGCATCATTGCCCTGTGGACCATGTTTTGGATTAGCACTGTAGGAAAGTGATACATCGTTGCTGGATTTCAGAGAATGGATATCTAGAAGCTCAAAGAAGTTTGAGCCAGGGTGCATTTGCGCCAGTTTCCAGAGGTGGTTTGGTGAGGGCGGTGGCTGGCGGGAGGCCAGGGGAGGAGGTCGGCAGTGGTGGGCTGCCTGCAGAGCAGGAGGTCAAGGAGAAGGTGGAGGGTGCAGGGCCTGTGTGAAGTTCGCCACCCTGAGATGGCACTGCGCAGTGACCAGGCCCTTGACGACTGGGGCAGGGGTTGATTATTCATCTTGGCACCAGAAAGTGAGCTGTGGCTTTATGCTACAAATTGTATGGTCAGGTTGAGTTCCAGGAAAATTAATTTGACAACAACAGTGTTAGGCTATATTGCCTTCTAGTGTTTATCAAATTATAGAAAGTGGTTAAGAAATACACATCCAGGTTCCTTGTGAACTGGGTAAAGAATTTATGTTCTGAGTGTGTGTGTAATCCTGGGACTACTGTCCTCTTCAAAGGATAAGGATGAGGGCTGGCACCATGGCCTAGTGGGCTAATCCTCTGCTGGCAACATTGACATCCCTTGAAAGTGCCGATTCGGATCCCAGCTGCTCTACTTCTGATCACACTCCCTGCTTGTGCCTTGGGAAAGCAGCAGAGGATGGCCCAGGTCCTTGGAACCCCCGACCCCTGTGGGAGAACCAGGGGAGGCTGCTGGGTTCTGGGTTTGAAGTTCCCCGGGACCAGCCTTGCAAGCATTTGAAGAATGGAGCAGCTGGATGGGGATCTCTCTGTCTCTCCTTTCTGTAAAGCTGCCTTTCAAGTAAAAATAAAGATAGCTTTAAAAAAAGAAGGTTAGGATGAACAAAACACAGTTTGTTTTCTAAAGAGATGAAGTCATTGAGGAAGCGAGAGGTGCTGACATTTATGTATGAGCACAAAGTGACGTCCACTGTGTCGGTGTGTTTTGGACAGGAGACTTGGATTTTAGGTGCTGAGAAAAGGGTGTGCAGAAAGAGGGAGGTGTGAAAAACTTGCTGGTGTGTTCTACGAGTGTTACTGTTCTTTATTTTTAAAATTTAGTTATTTTTATTGGAAAGTCACATTTGCAGAGAGGAGAAACAAAAAGATCTTCTTTCAGCTGGTTCACTCCTCAGTTGACTGCAGTGTCTCGAGCTGAGCTGATCTGAAGCCAGGAGCTAGGAGCTTTTTCCAGGTCTCCCACGTGAGTGCAAGGGCCATCCTCGATTGCTTTCCCAGGCCACGAGCAGGGAGCTGGATAGGAAGTGGAGCAGCTGGGACATGAATTGGTGCCCATATGGGATTCCGGCATGGGCAAGGAGAGGACTTTAGTCGTTAGGTTATTGTTTCAGGCCCAGCATTGTTGCTTTTTTTTTTTTTTTATTTGAAAGGCGGATATACAGAGAGGAGAGTCAGAGAGGAAGAACTGTCCGATAATTCACTCCCCAGGCAGCCGCAACGGCCGGAGCTGAGCCAATCCGAAGCCAGGAGCCTCTTCTGGGCCTCCCGTGTGGGTGCAGGGTCCCAAAGCTTTGGGCCGTCCTGGACTGCTTTCCCAGGCCACAGCAGGGAGCTGGATGGGAAGTGGGGCTACCGGGATTAGAACTGGTGCCCATATGGGATCCTGGGTGTACAAGGCGAGGACCTTAACCACTACACCATCGTGCCGGGCTCCACTTTTTTTGTTTTTTAAAGACTTATTTATTTGAAAGGCAAAGCCACAGAAAAATCACTTTTCATCCACTGGTTCATTCCCTAAATGGTTGCAAAAGCCAGCTCTGGTCTTGACCAAGCTGAAGCCAGTAGCAGAAGTTCCATCCTAGATGCGAGTGTTGTAACCCTGGCTTACCCTGCTGTTCCAACTTGTTTAGCCCGACATTTTTTTGTTTGTTTTAAAAGATTGTTTTGTTTATTTGAAAGGCAGAATGACAGCATATCTTCCATCCTCTTCCTCAGTCGCAAGTGACTATAGGAACCTGGAGCTCCATCCGGGTCTCCCATGTCAAGGTGTGTTGAGCAGGCTGCTGCCCCAGAGGCCCAGCGTCAGGTCTTGAGCTGGAGCTCAGGTCTGGGGTGCAGGGTCGCGGCACCAGCCCCCAGGTTTACGTTCCCCTGTTTCTGTTTCTTTCTCCTTCTGTTATCACTGAGCCCAGTGCTCAGCTCCAGGCCTGCAGGGCTGGAGGAGCGGGAGGCTGGCGAGCAGCCGGGGGCAGGGCAGCACTGCACGCCGTTGCCATAGAAGCTGGCACAAGCCTGTGATTGCTGTGAAACAGCCTCTCACGTCTGGTGATGCTGCACTGGCATTGTGGCTGTGGAAGTGCTCTGGAATGCTCCCGAATGCTGACAGGGCTCTCGCTCTGGTTGATCGCATGTTTGAGGCCAATTTTTTACCTGGCAAATGTGAAGTGTCTGCCAACATTGTGCCACTTGGTTGGAATGCATCTGCGAGCAGGCACATAGGAAGCATACAGTCTGGTTTGAGGGTGCCCAGATAAAGGAATTTCCAGGAGGTGGGAGGTGAGTGGAATAGAGTGAGAGCAATGTGATGTCGTAGTGGAACTACAGCAACAGGACAGGGTGGTTGACTAGAGACTTAATTAATCGCTAAGACTTTAAATTATTTGTTTTGGTCATTAATTTTATCTGAAGGTATTAGCTACAAAGTTAAGTGTGTAGTTTGAGAGCTTTTCTGTTGTCTTCTGAGTACGTGAATTCCTAGCACCTAGTCCAATACTGCCCTCTCGTGGTAGTCACTGTACTAGCGTGCCACTCTTCAGCACATCTAGCAGCCAGCTCCAGGCTCCAGGATCTGGTTTTCCACACTTGTATTAGCAGTTCACCTTGCCTAGCTTATTTTTACAGTCTGAATTTCAGTTCTAAGAATTGAGTTCTTCATATTTGCAAAGTAATCTTTCCTTATATAGCATAAATATTGAATGCACAAAGCCATGCCAACTGTTTGTGTGGAAATAAAATTTTGAAATAATTTCTTATGATGGAAATCCTTTAAATTCAAATTTAGTCTATAATGACAGTCACATAGGATTAAAATATGAATTTGTTTTTCTGCAAAAAATTTTGAAATCGAAGCATTTTTCGTAACATATATATTTATTTTATTTTTCATGGAAAGTCAGATCTACAGAGAAAAGGAGAGACAGAAAGATCTATCATCCTCTGGTTCACTCCCCAAGTGGCTGCAATGACTAGAGCTGAGCTGATCCGAAGCCCCGAGCCAGAAACTACTTCCAAGTCTCCCATCAGGGTGCAGGGTCCCAAGGCCTTGGGCCGTCCTCCACTGCCTTCCCAGGCCACAAGCAGGGGGCTCGATGGGAAGTAGAGCATCTTGGACACAAACCAGGGCCCATATGAGAACCCAACGTGTGCAGGGTGGGGATTTAGCCACTGAGCCATTGTGCTGGACCCCAGTAATATGTATTTTTCCATGAGCTTTTGCATACCTGTAATATAACTTTAAATAAATTTCTAGTATAAAATTTTAAGAGAGCAAACTTTGAAATTTTAAATGACGAGAGATAGTACGCAGGATCAGTGAGTAAAGTTAGTACTTCTTTCCAACAGGCCTTTCCCGGGGGTGAGGGTGGGTGGGAACAGTGTGTGTCCACCGTAATATGACCAGGTTCTTAACATTCCAAGTACGTGATGGCTCTTCATTTAATGGCTTTTCTTGTTTTGCTGCCTTCTCTTGTTTTCTTTGTCTTTGTTTTGTTTTCTTGTTTCTCTTCTAGATCTTTGAAGTTCTGATTTTAGAGTAAAGATTTTTATCTCTCAGGCTAATTTCTCTTTAGCTATGTTGCCTTTGCTCTTTCATTTAGAAGAACTTACCTAGCTGGGACTTGGGAAAGTGCAGGGCCTTCTGGAGTTGATGGAGAATGTGTGCTATAAACACTTTGTCCCTGGATTACAGCATCTTTGCGCATCTAAGTGGCATACCTTTTGACTTTCTCCGTGAACTTGGGAAGTGCTCCCGGGTTAGGTAGCTGCCAGTTGATGTCTGGAGTCTTGGTGCTTGTGGCAGCGTGGCTCTTCTCATGGCCCTGGCTAGATGGTGGTTTCAGTGTCTGTGGTGTTGGCCCGGGAGAGGGCAGGGCATGGTTTCCTGATGGCACGTGTCCTGTGTCTTGACATCCCTGGAGGCCTGGGACCCTAACCCCCTGTAAATGCTGGAGGCCCAGGTGCTGAGCAGAGCAGTCACAGCAGGGCAGACGCGCAGAGAGCTGCTCCGTGCAGAAGGTTTGAGAGATGCACTTGGTACTGGCTTGGTTGATCGGCCAGCGCGGGGCCAGCAGTCTTCACCCTTGGTGTTTGTTGGCTATTGCAATTTGAATTTCTCTTTGTGGTTTTGGAAACTTTGTTGTAGTGGAAAGAACCTCCATCAGCACTGCCTTTCTTGCAGTGGCTTTGACCTCTCCTGGGACCAGCACTGTGACAGTCCCACTGCCTGGGTCAGCTGGCGCCAGCCGCTGGAGCGTAGTGGCTCCCTTTACCGTCAGGGACGTGTTTTGCCCTAAGAGGCACAGTGTCAGCTGTGTGCTCACGTGTCAGGGACGTGTTCGCAGCTTCCCTTGTCCTTGCCCGTTGCTTCTTAGAACGTAACGTAAATGTTAATGCAATAGCATCACCCTTGCTTGGTGGTATTGTGTTACTTCTGTAATAAAAGGAGTGTTTCCCTCCTCTGCAGGTGCTGCTGCTTTTTCAAGCGAAGGAAAAGGAAAACCATTCAGCGCCACAAGTGACGGGACGCCGCCGACGGGCGTTGTTTGAGCCCCTGCCCGCGTGGCCGCTCCCTCGGCCCTGCCCACGTGTGTGCGAGACTCGCTCTTAGGAACACGAGCGTTGTACTTTCATACTTCACTTTGTGGTTGTCTTACATTCATATTTTTTTCCTAATTTTTATGGAAGCTTTAAAGTTTTGTCAAAATATGAGTGCTTTGCCCATCGAGGAGCGGCACGGACCAGTGAGGTGGTGTTGAGAAGTACAGCTGGGTAGGGCACTCTCCACGAGCCCCTCTGCCGTAGAGCGCAGTGCGGGAGCTGATGTGTTGGCCAGGCGTGTGCCCGAGCAGGGTTTCTGTGACTTCTGTCAGAGTGTAGACTCCCAGGAATTTTCATCCCTGCAGTGGGGAAAGTAGAGGACGGCCAAGTTGCCCAAATATTTCAAAGACGTTGTTCCTCAAGAAGTTCTGTGTGACATCTGCGTTGATCTCAGTATTACTGATGGTACTGTCCTTCGTGGGTCACCCTAGCATTCTCTGTGAAATCATGGTACAGTCATGCCCAGAGGTACGGAGGAAAGCGCTCTGGGGCTTGGCGGGCGGCAGCACGGATGCCACGGGCCACGGCTGTGGGGCTCTTCTTCCATTCCCCTGGGGGAAGATCAGTGGCACAGAAGGGGCGGAATCGCTGATTTTTTTAAAAAGCGAGATATTTGTAAAAATGTAACTTTATGCTTCCAGATAACAGTGTGTGTTAGACAGCAAGCAGTGAATACTTTGGGAAGTGATACATGTTGGAGTTAAAATACACTAAGGAGAAGAAGCAGGCGGGAGGTGCCGCTCTGCGGAGGGCCTGGCCGCCTCCGCTGGGTGGCGCCCTTCTCCCTTGCGCAGGAAACGTGGCTGGGCCGTGCGCTGGTGTCTGTTTCTTCGTTATTTTGCTCTTTGATACAAAGGCCCCCAGCAATAAAAACTGGGTCACTCTATTGCCCTCTGTCCACATTAGTCTCTTGTGTTCCACTCTGTCGATTGTCTGGAGCGCTGTACTCTGGCGTGGTTTACGATGGAAGAACCCGTGGGAGAGAACGAGGCAGGTGCTTTGCCTCCTTGGTCTTCTGCAGTCTCTTGAAGTGCCTGCGTGTGAACAGTGACAGTTCTGTGAAGAAGGAAGCCCATTCCATTTGTCACCCATGCTTTGTTTCAAGCCATAAGGACACAGGTGTGCTTTTGTCACGTGTCTGCTAGCCGGCGTTTTCGAGAAGAGTTGAGGCGGCAAGCCTGGCTGGGACGAAGATTGTGTGGCTCGTTCTCTGTGCACCCTTCATTTCCGGAGTGTCGCTTGGTCTGTCTCTCAGTGCATGCCTCCAGGTGTGCTTATTTATTTTTATTGTCTCAAGGTAACATTTAAAATGTGTATTAAAGTAAAATAAATCCACTGTTTTTACTTTACTATTACATTTACATGGGTTTAATTATACTTTGTAATTTATTTTTTCTTATTAGCCAAAAGTTCAGTGTGTTGTTTTTGAAGAATTAGGCACTGTTCTCAAATCAGGGGGGTGTTTGTCATTGTTGCTCTGAAGCCTAGGAACGCCCTTTTCTTGGTTTCAAAGGCCTATGCTCAGCTTTGGAGACACGTGCCATGTAGTTCGGGTTCCAGTTGCATCCTGCTTATCTACGGTCAGGATACCTTAAGCTACAGGCGCTGTACACTGAGTTTTTAATTTTTGTTTGCTTGGAGCAAGGTAGATGGATGTTTTGGCCATTATAATGTGAAACCACTTCTTTCTTTACAGTATTTGACCAAATTTGTGTGTCTATGATATTTGTAAATACCTGCGAAATGTGTATTTCTTATCATAAGCCTATTTAGTTTTATCTCAGTAGGGTTTTTTGGACTGTACAGTGTTTATATGATCTGAACTCCTTATACATAAGAAGGTGTGTATATTAATCCAATTATGGACTTAAAATATTTTAAAAGTATAAATACCCTTATTTGCTGCAATGACCAGTGTGTAGACATTTGCTTTCTAGCAATATTTTTAAGTGCTCCATTTTAATGCCAAGGAATATGTCTTTTGGCAATACAAACTGGTCAGTAATAGGTAATGCAGGTTTGTTCAGGTTAAGCCGACGATGTTCTGCATTTTTATGCTTCTTTTCTGTCAACACTAATGAAGTCAACATTGCCTGAATGTCTGAATAATGAAACACATCCCCGTTGAAAAGTATGTAACTGAAAAAACAAAAAGAAATAAAAAATAAAGGTAGTTTTTTTAAACTTGCTTTTTCCCCTTTCCTCTACTAATGGGTAAAATAATGCCGCTGACTAATTTATCAGGAACTTAAAAGAAAATTCCATGTGTTATGTGAGAAGCAGAACTAAAGAAATACACTTTTTGTTTGTTGTGTTTTGTTGTAGTTTGCTGGATGGAGTTGTTAAGCAGTACGCACCAGGGAGGTTGTAAGCTTTCTTTGCTTTTCAACTTTATTTTTTAGCTTTTCAGATCTACCTAATAGAGCAGTTGACTAAAAATAATCTTTTCTCTTAAGCTAAGGAAACAAAATTGCTTATTCTTCCTGGAAACTGCCATCATTTTAGTTCACAGAAACTAAGCATTGTTGATTCCACTTTCAGTGAGGGCCTTGGAAACCACTGCCGCCCCTTGGGAAAGTCCTTCATGTGAATACATGGGTTATAACCAAAGATGGGTGACACGGGGAACAATCGTAGGTCACCTGTGGGGTGTGAAGATGATCTTGCTGGAGCGACTTGTGGGGATGCTTTCCTGTGTTCTGACTTGACTTAAACGGAAAAATGCTCCCGCCCTTGTCTCACACTGAGCTGCCAGACGGTTTGGGGGATGAAGGCCCGGCGTGGGGGCCTAGCTGTGTTGTGAGCAGGAGACATGAGCTACCGTGTCATGGCTGAAGTCCTACAGGCCTATGTAAGGAGAGAAAATGAGCTTCCCAAATAACTTACTGATGAAATTCAAGCTGAATTTGAATTGTATCGTAATGCATGTCTACTAATGCGACCAGAAGCATATTGAAGGGATGATATTTTACTGAATTAGAGTTGGGGATGATCGCATATGTTCATCTGTTAATGAATGGCAATGTGATTTTACATATCTCATCTTTGAAAGTGTCTTTGCACACAGACAGATACTACCAAATACTATTTCCAGGTTTTAACATAGTCATCATTTGCAGTGTATTTACAGAGTTCTGTTCAATTCTGTTGCTGATATTTGCCCTTTAGCATTTCATGAATCACTTCCTGTTCGAGGTTAGGGAGGCTTCTTGATTGTAGAGTTAGAGCGGAATAGGTGTTTGAGTATGGGAATTTTCTGTGCACTTGCACTGAGGTCCAAAATGCAGCTGGAAGTGCATGGGGTCTGAAAACAGTACTCACTGAAAATAAATGTGAGATCTTGCTGCTTGTTTCAACTTGACATCATGGCAGTGTATAAACCTGCCTGACGTGACTTGGGACTTAAACAGCATTCGTTATCGTTAGGATGACACAGAGACAGGCTGTTGAGCTGTGTCATTTTAGGTTGGATTTTTTAATGGGAGTTGTTGTCAAGCCTGTACTGCCAGCTGATTTCTGCACGTGTTCAGCAATGGGCCTTGAAGCCAATTCTTTCAGTCATAGACATTTCAGTCTTGCTTTGACTTCAAAAGTTGTAAGAGAACCTTTTCATTTTTTTCCCCAAGCTCGGTAAGTTACAACACAACTCCACAGCCAGCAAACGACTGTGAAGCTGGGCAGGATGCTCATCTTCTGTTTCTGACAGTACTTAGTAAGCTCTTACAGTAGGTGAAATGTGGTTTACTTCTTCATGTAACCCAAGTTAAATAGTTTCCACAAAATGCCTGCTGGTGACAGACAGTTTACATATAACCATCAACCTTAAGCGTCCATTTTTGCAGATAGTACCAAAACTGAGCTATTCTGAATGCATACCTGTTTTTACCATCAGCAGTTGGAGTACGTCTTAGCAGATTCCACTTCAGGTGCCAATAGATTGGTATTTTTCTTTACTTCCTTGAAAATATTCTTTCCTATTGTTGTTCCATGCAGGCTGTTCCGAAGAGCTAATTCACAGGTGACTTCTGGATTACTTAAGATTTGGTAGCATCTGTGAAGTCATCCAGGCCAAGGAAAGTTGAAATCCATTGCCCTGTGTTCTCGTTGACTGTTGCGACACTTCATTGTTCTTTCAACTCAATCAGACAATCTAGTTCACTGTAAACAGCATTTCCTTGACTAGCAAGTGAGCCACTTGGGAAGGCCATTTCATGACACATGTAATTCTGTTGTGTATGAATAAATTCTGCTGTGATAAGCTGTTTTCGTTTTCTAATTCTGACTGTTGCTTTCCTGTGAGTTAGGCACATCGTGATGAGTGTTTACTCTGCCGATGCTGTATTATTTTAGCATAGCTGAAGTGTCATGGCACAGTGAACACGATGCTTGTGTAACAGACTGGTCCACACCCTCGTGTGCCTTAAATACACCACACTCAAAACTCACTGTCCTTTCTTTTTAATGTGATGAACATATACACTCTTAACAAAACATCAGTGTGCATGACAACACGTGTGTCACTTGAGATACTGTCAAGTTCTCATCACAGCTGAGATACAGCGTATTAAACAGCAGTGAGAAGCAATGAAGTGCCACATGTGGTCTCTGGCACACTTTCTCACCCTGCTTCCGTGGCATGGAAGCAGCCCCACGGGTTGGTAAGCACATGAGCATGGCAGTATTCCAATAAAATTCTGTTTGTGGACACTGAAATGTGAACTCCATATAATTCTTTTTCCTGTGTTGTGAAATATATTATTCGATACTTCGGGACCAGTTGAAAACTTTGGTGTTATTTGCTCACGGAAGGGATGTGTTGGATTCAACTTGAAAGTGATGGTTTGCGCCTCTGTGTTCTAGACCACATTGGAAAGATTTGGATGTTTGAGGTAGAAAATCTGGCAATAGAATTCTTAGCCTCAGTTTCTCACCTCAAATTTGAGACAGTGCCAGATTGGGTAGTATCTGAGTATCAGCAGTGCAGTGTAGGTCTCAACTCAAGATCTCTTACCGTGACCGCAGTAATGAAGCGACTTAACTCCGTGTCCTGCAGTGTGCTGTTTGCAGGAATAGGGTCTGGTATTTGTTCAGTGTTGTTTTTCCGCTGAAGCCTCACTCCCTATTGGCTGCCCTGCCTTAACAGATAAACAGCTTTAATTCTGTAGTTTGTTGGCAGAAACTACCAACATGGCATGGCCAGAGCCACAGCCTCATCAAGCCACTGTTGTCCAGGTGAGCCCACTGAACCAATGCCCGATGTCTTTAGGATCCCCCTGATGTACCGTGATCCTTCAGCACCGCTTGAATACCGCTGTATGTTTCTTTGTCATTATGTCATCAAAAAAGGAATTTGATTTAGCTTCATGGAACTTTCCTTGAGAATCTTTTTCTGCTAATGATATTACTTTTTATAGTACTAACACTGAGAAACTGCTTTTGGCTAATTCTTTATAATCTTCCTTGGAATGGACACTTATCAGTCTGGCTTTTTAATTCAATCTTTAAAAACCACAGATGTTTGCTTTCCTGCCTCTAGTCTTTTGTCTTAGGTCTCTCAGTATGGAAAGTGTGGCAGTCTGGAGACTCGGTTGCTCTTTTTGCTCGGTTAAATTTTATCCAAATTATCGTGTCTTTTGCTTTGGGTGCACGGGGTCTCCTGGAGTGTATCTCCCTTAGCTGTGTGCTTCAGTGGGCAGCCTCGTTAGAGCCAGCATCCCGGCTGTGGTGCTGTTTGCTGTGCGGTACTTTTATGTAAGTGCTTTCAAGCTTCTTATCTGTACACCAGTGTGAGTACTTCTGGATATTGTTTTCAGACTTTGTGCTCCGTTTCTTACCCAACGGCTGACTTAGTCATCGCTAACCTGACAGTGTGTGAAATAGCCACTTCTGTGGTTTTTCTCTTGTATTTTTACCTTCATCATTGTCCTCTGGAGCAATCACTTCACCCATCAATCAGGCGCTGGCCAAGATCTCCTGAGTGCACTCTAGTTGTAACAAATTGTGCCTTGCAAATTAAAATTTCATTTTTAAACATCTCATGCGTAAGAATCAATTAATTCTTCCTTGTATTTTGTTCTACACTTGGTATTGAGTTTGTCAGGATGCATTAAGTATCCTGTTAGGCATTTTTTAGAAAATTACAGAAACGGCCATTATAGCTACTTTCCTCCACAGTGTACAGTGCTTAAATTCCCTACGTCTCCACAGCAGCTGAGAGTCCTGTCTCCTTAACACCAGGACATCACCTGTTGTCCCTGTGCGGGTTTGACTGAAGGAAGACTAAGAATTCAAAGTAACTTCTTTGTTTTTTTTTTTTACCTGAAAGGTAGAGTTACCAGAGAGAGAGAGTAAAAGTAGAGAGGAAGAACTTCCAGCTTCTAGTTCATTCCTCAAATAGGTGCAGTGGCCAGTGCTGTGCCAGGCTGATGCCAGGAGCCACAGCTTCAGTCCGGGTTTCACAAATGGGTGGCAGGGTCCCAAAGACTTGGGCCAGCTTGCGCTGTTTTCTCAGCTGCATTAGCAGAACGACTGGACCCTGAACTGGCACTCAGCAGGGCTGATGGCGTCATAGGCCACGGTGCCATCCTCGGCTGTTGGCATCATAGGCCACAGTGCCATCCTCGGCTGTTGGCATCATAGGCCACGGTGCCCTCCTCGGCTCATGGCATCAGGCCACGGTGCCATCCTCAGCTGATGGCGTCATGGGCCACGGTGCCATCCTCGGCTGATGGTGTCATAGGCCACGGCGCCATCCTCAGCTGATGGCGTCATAGGCCACAGTGCCATCCTCAGGCTGTCATCTCAGTATACGAGGTCAGTGTTGGGGCTCTGCGAAGCCCGGCCATTGCTCCTGGGACTTCTTCTGAAGGCAAAGTCGGCAGCAAGCGCCTCGTCTTGGGAAAGTGAGCCAATCGCAGGTAGCCACGCTTCCTCTGACAGCCCCTGAGGGGCCAAGGCTGTGCTCCAGGTGTGGCTGGCCACTGCAGCCCGCCCGCCAGGGACAGAGCTCCTCAGGTGTGTGCCAGCCTGGGTGAGTCCGCTCAGCCCTGCCGCCCCCTTCTGCACCAGTCTGGTTCCATGGTTTGCGACCCTTCTTGGGGTCACTCCATTCTCTGATCCTGACCATTGCATTTAAGTTCCAAGAAGAAATGTTAGCTTCTTGAAAAATAAATAAAAATTAAAAAAGTG